AATATTCAGATGACAGTGGCAGTGGCAGTGGCAGTCTGAAAATGGCTCTTCGATTTGCTTCTGGTCCCTCTGGCCTATCTTTGGGTCTACTTTTTGGTCAATTTCCTTAACTTGTTTCGTGCTTTAATCATTTGCGGCTTTCCGCAGCTGTCTTCAAATCGAAACGAACTTGTAAATTATACTATATAGTATACTATATATGTCGCGACAGTTTCAGGCTTTTGTCTACCGAATTGATAAGCTCGAATTATATGGTAATGGGTGTCGAGAAGTTAATGTCAGGTTCTGCTTGTTTCTAAAGATTAATAAGCACTTTAAAATTATTATTTTATTTCAGAAGTTAGTTAAGATTAACTGCTATTTGAGTTTAGATATGAATATTTAAGAGTTTCCTCTTTTTTTATATATTAAAATTAATTTTCCCTTCAAACATCATTTAGTTTTCCCCAAAGACATATTTTCCCTAATAGATTACAGATCTGTTATCTCTTCAAATCTATATTCATGGCAATACAATAGCTTGTAACTATGTCAAATTAAATTAGGCTGCTCCTAAGTTTCCATCTCGTTTGGGCACATTAACTCTTAATTACAGATAATCTCAATCGAATTTATTTCGACTGCGACTTATAGTGTTTCCGTGCATAATAGAGCACCCTGTGGCTATGCAATTTGTTGGCCAATAAATTTCAATAAAAAAACATTTGCATCAAGCTGGAAATTCAGAGTGAATATGAATGTAGCCACCCTCGGCACTGGAAGTACGGCAAACATTTCGTTTGCCATTTTTTATCATTTTAAAATTATTTTGTTTTTTTTTTTTTATTTTTTCCTTGTACTGTGTGTTGATGTATTTTTCTTCTCTTTTTGCATAAATTTTACCGGCTGGCAGTTGTGCAAACAGAACTCAAAACTCAAAGTCTGGGGAGGAGAGGGAGAAAATCGGCTCTCTTAATAAATCGCTAATAAATCGCCCGCAAGTATCTCAAACGCTTTCGACACGCGTTTTTCTTGTATCTTTTTTTTGGGTTGAGAATGTTTCGGTTTTTTTTTGTGGATTCGCATTTTTAAGGCATTCATCATAAAGCTGAAGATCGAGCATCGAGTGAATCCGAAACCGAAAACCCCAAAATGCTTTTGTCTTTTCGTCAACATGTCACAGCCACTAAACATCAATAAGTTTTTTAAGCTTTTATTGATTTCGTCTTCGTTTTTTACAGCTCATCTTTGTGCGGAGTTTTTAGGGAGATTTCGTGTTTGATTTCTCATTTTTTATTGAGCTTTGGCCACAATTAATTAGCCAAATCTGCATTTTGCATAAATTACAAATATTATATTTTCATATTTCAGTCTCCAGCTTTCGGCCATTGTATTTTCGTATCCCCCCCTTTTTTTTTTGTGGGCCAATAAATCAAGTTCGAAGTTGCTTTTTTATTTTTGTTTTTTTGTTTTTGGGCCACCTCTTAAGTTCTAGCCGATAATTTATTTAGGTGACTTTGAATGATTTTAGCGGTGAGTTTCAAACGGAAAAGACATTCGAAACTAGTTTCGCTTCCCTAAAACTAATCACTTTGGCTACTGTTCGTAGATGCCATCGATAAGATGGAACAGAAGACCTCTTTTCAGGCCATTTGCAATTGTCAGAAAATTAAAAGCAAATATTTTAAGCCCAAAAAACATAATAAAATGGTTGATAAAAGTAGAAATTCCATATTTAAAAGCCATTAAAAATAATCTTATAAGCTGTTAAAGCTGCTAAGTAACTGCCAAGAGAAGTTTCCCAAACAAAAACGATTCCTTTTGGGCCAATTTGCAATTGGCAAGCAAATTAAATGTGAATATTTTCGGGCGACAAGCCGGCAAGAGAACATTTTATTTTATTTATTGGAATTTTTTGCCAGAAATCAAATCGAATGGTTTGTCGTTAGGGGTTGGCTCGTAAATTCCAGGGGCGGGTTTGGGTTTCTCATCTTTTTTTTTTTTCGGTACAACCGGCAGACAGGAGTTGCAATGATTTGTGGCATTTTACAATTTTACAAGGGCCCACAGGGCCATGCATCATTTGTAGGCCAACTAAGCGTCCTTTAAGGACTATTTTGTGGATGCACTCGAACGAACAATGGGAAGACACTCGACTCGCTCGCTCGCCTTCTTTTGTGCGGTTTTGTTAGGTCCTCTTCTGTGTGTGTGTGTGTGTGTGTGTGTTTGTGCCTCCTGCATTCGATTTTCATTACCAAAAAGGGGGACTTTTCCCTTTTCGCATTTACCTGCTAAAAATGCTGCTGGGATTTTGACACGTCTTCCGAAGATCTCCGCCAGCATTTCGCATGCGCAACCCAAAAACTGACCAGGAACTCTAGGATCTAGGATCTATTGTCCAAGTACCGATGTATACACATATTGCAGGCCCAAAACAAAGGTGTGATATTTGTTTGTCTTTTGTCCCGGATCGGGGCAATTGGCTCAAGTCAAGATGCATTTTCTGTTTTCCTTTTGTTTTTCCAAGGCGACCCGAGGCGTGGACTTCTTGTCAGCGTTGACAATTAGCCATATTCGTCGAGTGCTTGGTCACAGGACACTTACAGGATTTGAGTATGTCCTTTGTTTGGCTATCCAATTATGAGGGGGCTTGCTGAAAAATCTGCTGACCGCTGGTCAAGCAGCTGGTTTTGGTCACATCTTGGCAATAGGCACGCGCTCTTCTTTCTTTTTTCTTGATTTTCTGGGTTTCTTGTGCGGGATTATGGGACAAAGGAGTTAGGCGTGTTATCCTCAAAAGGTGTTTTGTTAACCACTCAAAGCTAATAAGTAGATGGGAGATAGGAAAAGTCAGGGGAACTATCTTGAAAGTGTGATTAGAAATGATTTTATGAGAATAATAATGGTAAGAAACTTACAGAGATTACTTCTCCTCAGTAGTTTAGTACTATAATGCCTTGGGATTTCCCTTTATCTTATATTAAGTCATCACTAAAGATCGCAGATAGTTGATTTCGTCATTCTTTTCTCAGATATAAAGTTACTTTGCAGTTACACTTACTAGGACTTCCAGTTTACGAATAGCAACTTCCCAAGCCGTAAAATCCATATAAATTAATATTCAAATCTAAAAGCTAATCCCACTAATTCCCATCCAACCCACTTCACTTCAACTCCAAATGCCCAACTCGCCAATTAAAGAAAACATTTCGAACCGCAGAAGAAGGCGTCAACGACTTCTTACACAAAAAAAATAACACACAAAAAAGACTTTTAACGTATTTATGGGAGGTTTACTTATTTCCAATCTTTCAATTTTCTTGTGAATTATTAATGAAAAATCATTTATTGAAATATGTATAAATGTTTTTTATAGCTGCTTTGCAGGCATTCGACATTTAAACGCTTAAATATTTATGCCTTTTTTATATCTCTTTCTCCGACTACCTAAGAGCAGGGAAAAAAGACTCCATCTCCATCTCCATCTCCATCTCCCCTCATACATTGTTGAATATTCATAAGGCAGCGCCTAGTGGCGTCATTTTCGGATTTGGATTTGGATGATATAGAGAGGTAGGGGGGATCTATATAGAGAGGGGGGATCTACCAACATCTGGGGCGGGTCAAGATCGATGATGTCAAGAAAAGGTCGAGAATCCCCTTTTGTTGACCAGCGAGACGGCGGCTCAGAACTGTTGACATTTGATTTTTTTTTCTTGGCTTATCTGGGATTTGAGATGTAAGCGGCGGCTCCCCCGCTGTTTTTTTCCCCCATTTTGACAAGTTATCTAAAGAATTCTAGCTGGAGAAATCGGGCGATTAAAAATATAACGCAGAGCAATAAGCGTCAGCACCTTGTCCAATTTGCTATGGTAATGAAAATTATACTCGTTGAACAAAGCCATGGCAAATCGATCATCGGCGAGCATAAATCATGATCGATTCTCTGCAGACTCATGGCAAATATTTTTCAAAAATCCTGTGGGTGGCTCACACACACACAAACCTCGCACAGCGGGTGCAAAAATCGGATTAAACGTTTCCGAGGGGGGAAGCGGGAGATAAAATAAAATCAAAAATCTTTGGAACAAAAAATTATATGTTTTGTTGAATGAACATGGAATTGAGCAACCTCATCTAGGCGACACGATCAATGCAATGTCTTGAAGAAAAAAACGTAGAAAAACCCAAGTTGGTTATGATTTTTTGGGGTTTGGTTGCAGATACATCCCAATATCAGCCTTCATTTCACAGCCAATACTCGAATATATTCCCTCATAAAAGTGTGGGCTGTGAGGTTTATTTTTCGAGTGTTTTTTTTTTTTTTTTTTTGGGGAAAGGAACCCCACTGTGCGATTTGTGTGCTTTTCATATTCACCGCTCTGTGTCGTCTGCATTTTGAAAACTCATCGTTTTCCAGCGGCTAATAGTCTGCTGGCTTTTTCGAATTGAATTGGAACTGTTTTGCTCTGGTTTTTGTCTTAGCTCCGGCTCACTTTTTTCCCTTACTCCTTCCTAATGGTTGATCAAACGCCGCCTGTTGCGTTTTCTCGCAGCGGGCCAAGAAACTATACACAAAAAAAAGTGCTTTATGGGTCACTCGGGGTCCGGACTTACATGTCCAGCAATTAAAAAGGAAATCAAATACGTGGCTTAGGTGGGAGTGCAAACTGGACTCTTGAGCTATAACTATACGGGTGATATATGGTCAACTATAGGTCTATTAGCAGTTCAATTTACTTCAAAGTTTTCCTTTAAAGAGCTTCTTTAGTTACTCTAAAAACTGAGCAGATAAACCTGTTATTAGACCCTAAGAAGGGTAAGTTTAAACATGTTTTTCCCAAATTTCATTTTTAATGTTCAAATTATTTAAATTCTCTTTTATAAACTGCCCTGTGTATTCCATTTGCCGTAGGAAACCGCAAGATAAGAACAAGCTAAGAAAATCCCACAGAGTTTGCTTAACCTCTTAACTACCTCTTCTGGTTTTCTTGTTAATAAAAAAAAAACCCAACACTCACCTTCATTTTAATTGCCTCCACAATTTTGGCGGTTTTTAATCCAAGTCTTTTGCACAAAATTCTGTCGCCAGCTTTAGCCTGGGAATCGAGCCCGATCGCAGCCAGAATGTAGAAGTATATATATATATATATATATAGAAGATAATGACGACGACGACTTGATCAGTTTGTCAAGCGTCCCACGAAAGCCGCCGTCTGCATATAGGTTGCTTATATAATACGATTCTTGTGACAGCTATTAATAACCAGTGTAAATTCGTATATCCGAGATGTAGATCAATTTGCAAGCGTTTGCAACATTTTCGATTTGATTAGCACATTCGATAACAGTTCACTTTTTTAAGCCGACGGCGAATGTTGCGGGGAGATGATAGTCGTACACCTTTTTTTTAGTATGACATTGTATTGCATACACGCAGAACCTTATCATGAGCGGGACGCGATAACACGTTAGCATGTAGCAGCGTTTCGCGTTTCACGAGAGATTCTGTTTTGTTTTTGGTCGTCGTGGCGGAGCGGATCGAGCGGACGCGAGATGTTGTTACAGCTTCGAGGCCACTGCGTTAACTGCCGGCGCTCGGGGTTCGAGCTCAGGGATCTGGTGCTGTGCTGCTCAACTGCTTCGATTCATGCCCGGTTTCCATATGCTGCTCATGGCCCACAGACACAGCCACCACCACCACTACGCTCACAGGTAAAGCCATACAGAAACCAAACCATCCGTACTTGCACAACCACCAGTCTCAGCTGAAACTCGACTCGGAAACCCGCTCAACTGGTTTTGAGCGCACATCTGTCGCCGTCGCAACGGGAATGGTGGTGATTGGCCCAACTGGCCACGCCCCTATTGTCCCGGAGAACGAGTTCCGGACTGGCGTCCCCCATTTTGAGTGCATTTCCATCGTGGGTTATCTTTGCCACCAATTGAGTGCGCCGGCGCGTGCCAACTTGGCCACTTGAAATGAGTCGAAATCGGAGTGGAATTGCCAGTCGAAATGGGTGGGTGTTGCTCTGACGATGATGTTGCTGCTGTGAGCTTCTCTCGTATTGCTGATGGCTTTTTGGGGCTGGTGTTGGTGTTGTCATTGATGTGCTTTTACTACTGATGTTGCTGTTGCTTAAGGGTACTGTTGCTGTTGTCACTACTTTTGGTGTCACTTTTACTGATATGGCTGTGGTTTCATCTCACATTGCTGCTGTTTGTTTTGTTGCTGTTGCATTGCTTACTGTTGCTTCTAATGAATGTTCTTCAGATGTTGATACTAAAAATGTTGCTCTTGGTGCTAATATTTCTTTGTTTCTTCTCTAGCTGCTATCTAGCTTTTTTCATAAATTATCTGTTGCTGAAGCTTTTCCAACTAAAGATTCCCCCTGATTGGTTTCTCCTTTTACTGATGCTGCTGCTGTTCTTGAATTTGTCTATCATGTTGCTGCTGTTTTCAACTTTTCTACTGCTTTTTTTCGGTGTTCCTGTAGCTGTCATTGCTTTTGATGCTGCTGTCTGAGTGGTTAAAAGCGAAGGGAAAACCTAAAAGCCCGGAGAGGAAAAGAGGAAACGGAAAAACGGAACTCGAACTCCACCGCACTTGACTTTTTTGGGGTCAAACCGCTTGATGGAGGGGAAGTGAGTTGCCAGTTGATGTTGTTGCTCTTGACGCTGCTCTCTTTTCGGTTAAATATTTTTTATTCCATTTGACTGTTTGTGATGGCATGCCAAACATGATAGCGGAACCGACGTGGCCAAATAGAAGAGGCAGTTAAATTTGAATTTAAGGAAAAGATAAGCATGTTAAGCTATGAAGTATGACAGAAATAACCAAAGAAAATATTTCTTTTAAATATTACAAAATCAAGAAGCTCTCTGGCATTATCTAACAAAATTTCAAAGACATTAAAGGCCTAACATAAATTTAAACTTAAGTACAGAAATTATCAATAATATATAAAAGTAAAACCAAATAATAACAAACTGATCCCAAAGTACTTCCTAAGTTATGATATAGCAGGTTTTTCCCACTTACCTTTGTCCTCCTTATCCTTTGATTTAAGCCTGAGTTTAAGCTTTATGCTTGGCTTACCACTCTCCTCCGAGTTTTCCTTTGACTTTCCGATCTGCGAGCACTTTAACCATTACTTTGGACCATTTTTCATTCACTGTCTCTTTGGTCGTGGGCTGTCTTTTAAAGCCGCTTGGCATTCAATTGGCATTTGGCTGTCGCCATCACCCAGTCGCCTCCACCATGACCACCTACTTCTCCTCCAGTGGCCCCCTTTTTTACCACTCCTTCTCCGCTTTTTGCTTTGCTCACGTTATTTAAGGATTAACATCATTTTATGCTGCTTCGCAATGCCTTTTTTGCAGGATTAAATGCTGCCGTCTGCTGGCTCTCGTTCTTCTGGCAATGCACTCGGGAAATTATTTTAAATTAATTATTAATAATTATTAAAAAATTTCTTAAATTTCTGTCATGAAATGTAAATTTAAATAAGAAATAAAAATCTTAAAAATTTCTTGTTTCTTGTATCAATGTAAAAAGTGATTTTCCCAGTTTAATAGCAAACTTGTCCCATATTTCTTCCAGTGTATATCCCACCCCCCTTACTCCCCTCTCCCAGTTGGCGCTCCGCTCTCCTTTCTCCCCTTTGAATTGATTGCATTGCACTTTTTCTCGCTGTTGTTGTTGTTGCATAGTTTGCGCTGATGCGCCGCCTCCATGGCTACAAAGTGATTTTTATGGCTTTCTGTCAGTGTGTGTGTGTGTATGTGCTTCGGTGTATGAGTGTGTGTGAATGCAAATGTTTGCCTTCGAGTGCGTGTGTGTGTATGAGTGCACTTTGATGTTTCCGCATTACAAAGGCGGCACTTTAATAGCGATGCATTTATCAAAAGGCAGCCAAAAGTCCGACAGCAGCTGCTAGCTTTAACACGCATACGCCCCGTGGGGTGCCGCGAAAATAAAGTTCGGAAAACTAGGAAGCTACAGGAAATAGAGCGTCGAAGCAAAGTCTTACCATATCATAACCATCTTTAAGCAATTACTATCATTAACTTCAAATTTGCATACAACATTAAGCTAGTTAGTGGTACTAAAGTGTATTTAAATAACTTTTATCGACCTTAAAAAAATATTTTTAATTCTCGAAAATGCCAAAATTGGTAATCTCAGATTTTCTCCTCAACATGAAATTATTATGCCTATAACTCAGCCAATAATGGTCCGAATATGGAATGTAATACCTCGCCAAGCTCGTAATTAAAATTCCAACAAAACTGCATTCACAGTTTAAAACGTAAAAATTAGGCCAATTTTTCATTATTTTGATGATGTTACCCCTTACAAAAAATTCAAAAAACTGCCAAAAATTAAAAATCCTAAAATCACCAAACGAATGATGAGGAAAGTTTCTCTCGGTTGTTAGATTCACAAAACATACATTCACTTAGCTGTATGCCTTGTTTTAACCAAGTTATAGGTATAAAACCAATAAATAAGGTAGCATTTTCTGTCTGAAATCATAAGTTTAATTGTCTCCCCAAAATTCTCACAATTCTTCCCATCACAAAGCCAAATACGAACGGAGTACGGACTGTCATACATCGCTGGACTCGTAATTAAAATTCTAACAAAACTGCATTCACAGTTTAAAATGTGAAATTTTGGCCGTTTTTTCCAAAAAAAGATGATGTTACCCCTTATCGAAAATGCGAAAATTGGTTTTTTCAGATTCCCCTCAAAGTCTCAGTATTATTCCCATAACTTTGCCAATAATGGTCGGAATATTGAATGTGATACCTCGCTAAGCTCGTTATAAAAATTCTATCAAAACTGCATTCACAGTTTAAAATGTAAAAATGTTGCCAATTTTTTTGTATTTTGATGATGTTACCCCTTACAAAAAATTCAAAAAACAGGCAAAAATTAAAAATCCAAAAATCACCAAACGAATGATGAGGAAAGTTTCTTTCGGTTGTTAGAATCACAAAACAGTTATTCTTTTAGCTATGCGTCTTGTTTTGACCAAGTTATAGGTATAAAACCGATCAAAAAGATAGAATTTTCTATCAGAACTCAGAAGTCTGATTGACTCCCCAAAATGCTTACAATTCATCCCACCACAAAGACGAAAATGAACAGAGTCTGGACTGTCATACATCACTCGAAATTAAAATTCCAAAAAAACACAGTTTAAAATGTGATAGTTTCGCAATAATTTGCAAAAACAGATGATGTTTCCCCTTATCGAAAATTCGAAAATCGGTTATCCCAGATTTTCTCCTCAAAATGACCAATAAAGGTCCAGTTATTGCACAAAGTATCCAAAGTTATAGCAATAATGAAACATTTTTGCCTTCTATTTTCTATTCCTTAAAATGCTATCTTTGTATCTTCTTTAAACATCACATAACCGACAGTTAGAGTAAATTGTTCCCTTAATATCTATGACTATCGGTCATTTATCAGCACATTGAAGCGCAGCCTTCTGCTTATCCTGGACCGCATCTGGCTTAAAAAAAATAAAGTGACTTAACCCTAGAGGCTCTAAATTGATTAACAGTAGCCCTCTGGCCAACAAAAAATGAAATAATCTGGTTGGGGGATGTGAAAGAGATGCTGTCAACGCTTCGGCGTTCCGGGAATGTCTTCCATTTACATGCCATAATTCTTAAATGTCACCCGTTTACAAAGGCCTTGACCATTTGATTTCGACCGCCTTCGAATTGGCCCTCAAACAGGTTGAAAACCCGGGCAGGTAAATGGAACCCGCGAACCCTAAATGAACTCATCCTTTTCATCTCGCCCTTTGTCCGGCCCATAGACCAGCGATATTATATTTATTTGGATCTTTATTGAGCTGCAACCTGTCGCAGTCGCTGGTTTTTGGGTTTCGGGTTTGGTTTCTTGGGCCTCTCCCTCTCGACATTCCCATTTTGTTGGCAGATTTATGTTCTGGCCTCCAAGCAGATACTGATCGAGGCGATAACATCGAAGGGATGGCCAAGAGTAGCTCTCTCTTTAAAGACGAAACTACACTAAGACAACGCATGATGTCTTAATTGTGTTTTCTTTCTTTTTGGTCTTTTAATATATAAGAAATATGGATTTTTACTTATTTTATAATTCAAAAACTTTTTTCTCAGTGCTCATTTTCCATGATCGGTGAAAATTTCAGGGTAATTTGTTGTCCCCGTTTTCAGTTCTTCTTGTTGGTCGGCTGGGTTTCAGGACTGGTCGTCTTTCCAAAAACTGTTGGTGGCATGTTCGATTTTCCTGTGGCTACCTTTTTCGGTTTTGTGTCGCAGTCGCGCGTGTTATGAAGATGTTAAGATCCCCTGGTCAACCCCTGAATTATATGTCTTAATTGTCTGGGGCTAGAACCATGGAATGGACAACATTTCATAGGTAGTACATGCACCTACATTCAGTTCCCGGCTGTTTGCATAATTCCTGGCCCAGTGGCTGTTTGCTCAAGTTTTGTTTTATGGCCAGTATTTTGTGGTAACATGTGCCAAAGGACATCATTTTGTGGTGGTAAACGACTGTCCAATGCGTTCTCATAGCCCATAAATCATTTGGCCAAGTTGAGCTGTTTGGCCAGGGAAAATTTATGTTCAATGTCCCAGAGGGAACATTTTCCTTCACTTCTTGGCTTAATAGTTGATAGCTTAAAAGGCTTGTAAAACAATAAAGAAAAAAGGTATCCTTTCCCGCATTACAAACTCATATATTTGTTCTTTCTCCTTATACATTATGTATATATATATATTTGTAATAACTCTCTAGTGTATATATAAATTAAAATAAATAAATACATTTTTTTGGTTTGTGGTTTTTGTTTGCTTTTTTTTTGTTTCGTTAATAATAATTATCATTACCATCATCATTATATCATTAGAGTTATCCTCGTCGGTAAAAACGCCGCCCTCGTCCCATTTTTGTGTGTCTTTATCTCATTGCATGCTTGGTTGTTCGTGTTGCTGGTTGGCTGTGGTTTATCGGTTGTCGCGGTTTTTGGAGCTACAGTGTTCTGTTTTCATTTTACCAATTTGACCGAATTATCATGATGCAGTAATAATAATAATAATAATAATAATAATAATAATAATAGTATATTGTATAACATATGCCGCGTTTGTCCTGCCTTCGGTTGCACATTCCCCAACTATCCCTAGCTTCCTTAACCCATTCTCAACATTCTTTAGTCATCAACGATTTTTTTGTGGTTTCTTTAACAAACAGAGCAACAAACAAAGAAATGCACAACAGGATACGTCAGGATATAGTGTGATCTAGCTACTGAATCCTGGTTTTTCCATTTTCCTCTCTCTCTGGCGCGGGACTAGCCAACAAAGCGTTTTCTGTGTGGTTTTCTGGTACAATACGATTCGGTGCTTATCATAATAAGTATCATTCGGTTTTTTAGATTCGAATCTTGAGCAGTTTTTGTTCACTAACTTATTTGGTACTTGGTTGTGGTATCGGCTATAATGCTATATATATGAGTTATCAAGTATCAAGCTGAGTTCCTAGCGCACCTTATTTCGAAAGCTATTTATACTTATCGGTTAATGTTAGTGGTTCAGGACTGGAAAAGGATAAATGTTCGATTGCTTTGGAGCGAGACTAGCGTATGCCGTATGAGTGATATCTCGGTTTTGTTTTCCTCTTTATTTTTGACAGATCCAAAATTCTTGACTGGCCGGCACTAACCTACTTACACGCTAAATGTATATATACTCGTAGTCGCGTTTCAGATTTGTGTAAATTATTGTTATGTACATTTAGACATGCAGTTCTAGAAGTTCCGAGAGCGAGTTGGGCGAGAGAGGTCCTGCCATTGCTTGTAAAGTTCGTTGTACAAAAGCGGAAATGAGGAAAATCATAAGATCCATTAGCTGTGGAAAGTCGGAAAATATAAAACACAAAAGAAGGCAACACAAGTTTTAACTTTAACTAATCATGTGGTTTCTCTTTTATTATACTTTTCGATTTTCGCATTTTGTTTGTTTGTTTTTCTTTTCTTTTCACTTGCCTATATCTTATTAGATGGTACATATACATATGTAGTTTATACGCTAAGCTAATTATTTTGTTTAACAATAAATGTATAGCTGCTTGACTCCTCCTTCATCTTCTCTCCTCCTCATCATCATCATCATCATCATCATACTCCATTGTCTGATTTTATTTTGCTTACGAGTAACAACGAATTTTTAGCTGCAGCTTCTTTGCATTAAGGAACAGAAAATTATAAGGAAATTCTATTTCGAAAGAACATAAACGTAATAAGGAAAAATTCAAATCAAAAATCATATTTAACAAATTTTCATTAATTAAAATTACAAAATAATAATAATTGACTGTCTAAATTATAGATGTATGTATTATATTTTTCGATTTCATGGGTCTCTTAAATAAACAGATTTAGTGGCTTGTCTCGAGACTTTTTTCGAAGAGCTTTACACAAAAATTTTGCTGGACAAAATTGGATATAAGACTCGCCCCAATTCTGGCGGCAGATTTCATGGGAACCTCTGGGTTCTGAGGGCCAGGTTGTCCAGTCGGTCGATCAGTTGATAGATTTCTGTTCTAGCTTCTGCTTTCGGTTGAGATTTCTAACATAATTAAAACGCATTTAATTAAGCACACCAAAGCAAGGAGATATTAGAAATTTAGAAAATACTTTTCATTCTTTTTTTGGTAGCAGCTTTGAAAATAATAATCGGTTAAATTAGTATTTGAAGATTCCCGGAGATTCTCTTGCTTTAGCGTGCAAATAGCAAACGTCTCTGAGGTTCTTGATTCCATCTCTGAAACTTCTCTCAGTCTATTTGCGGTCCTTTCGAGAGCTCCCTCGGAACTAAAGTCTAACCTGAATATCCTATATATGCGCTGAGAAAGGGAGTGGAAGTTACGTATCGGTCGAGTGTTCAGTTCGAAAGTCCGTGTTTTTTGGGGGGCCGTCGTTGTGTGTGTTATTTATTTATTGCTTCTTCGGGTACTCGATTTTGTTGTTTTATTTAAAAACTATTTGTAATGGCACAAAATATACAGCATTCAATTCTTTCTTTCTTTTCTGTAGCGGTTCAGTTATTGCAGCTATATCCGTACAATACTCCTTAACTATATAGAGGCTATATGCTATGCTTTGTCGGTTTCCCCCATTCCCTTCGCTTGCTGCGGAAGATAACAGTGATGGCTTCGCTCTGTTTCGCTCCCCGGCTCTCATCTGGTGTTTATTGTTTCTCTGTGAGTGTGTTTATGTGTGTGTGGATAGTTTGGTTTGTTTTCTGGTGACATGGTGACCTGGTGACTTGGTGACTGAGTCCCTGCCACGCCCCCTTCCTCTCCAGCTGCTACCATTTATGCCCGACAACTCTGCGACCAGCACTCGACGAGTTATATTCTCCTCCTGCGCTGCTCTTCCATTTCCATTTCCATCCGTTTATCCGGTCCACTTCATCTGGTATCTGGTATTATGGTTGTCAACTACTTTATGTTCCACTAGATTAGGTTGCTATTTATATTTATCTTAGGTATGCCGTTATGTGTATGTAGTTTTTGTTTTGCTTGGGTTTCCTATATTGGTTTTTCGGCTGGCTTTACCGCGGACGCGAACCTTTGTAGTTCGGGTTCGGATGGCGACTGGGATGACGCGCTGGAAAAGAAGCGAGAAACCATGTTAGTTATCATGTTATATAAAGTTGATTTAAGTCATATATCAATAGGTTAAGAGATCAATTCAGCATCCATTGCCTCTTCTTACCTTGTATCATCATAGTGGGATACATGCCGGCCACCTGCGCCATTTGCGGCCGGATATCGTTTGACGGCGAGCGCCGACTGTTGGGCAAGGCCACCGAGGGCTAAAATATATAAGAAATCCATTTTATAACTTTATCTCTAGAAGACTTTACTGCATACTCACATGGGCAAAGTACGTCTGGCCATACTTGAAGTACACACCGGACGTCCCATTTGGATTGTAGCCACCAAGGGCGGCCGCAGCGGCCACGCCGCTTAGCACCGCCGCCGTGGCCTGTTGGCTGCCAGCAGCTGCGGCAGCGGCAGCGGCGGCACTGTGGTGCAGCTGGGCAGTGGGAATGTGCGAGCGGGCGCCACCGCCACCGCCAGGCTGATGGCCACCATTTGAGCCGGCCCCTCCCGCAGTGCCACTTGCTCCTCCGCTTATTCCTGCAGTCGGAGCGCCTCCACCACCGCCATAAAGCGAAGGCGGCGAGGCATTCATGGCAGCTCCGGTGGTCTGGTCAAGCACCACAAATCCTCCAGTGTGACTTACTAGCGTGGGCTGTGGTTGAGGTGGCGGTGCCGCTGCATTGGGCGTGTTGGCAGCACTGTTGCTCTGGCTGCCCACAATACTGTTGGGCGAGTTGTTGCTGCTCTCGTGGCTACCATTTCCTCCACCATTGGCGCTAGGCGAGTTCCTTTGAGAAACACTGCGGCGGTAATCCTGGTTCATCGACTTCTGACTCCGGAAACTGGCGGCTCCAGCATTCAGCCGTACAGGCGGCTTAGCCTCGTAGCTGGTGACTCCGGGACTCGAGTTGGTTGCATAACTGGGCGGTGGTCCACTGATCAATGGCAGCTGATTGGGCTTGTTATCCCGTTTCACTCCCATCGTATGGGGTGGTGGCCCGCGATGCTGGTAGGTAGTGGTCCCGCCAGATGAGGAGGCACCACCCAAACTAACGCTGCTTGGAGAGGCACGCGGCGTAGGTTCATTGTTTGAGTTCAGCAGTGGAGTCTTTGCTCCTGAGGGGATGCTACCCAGGGGAACCGAATGCCTCGGATTGTAACCACCTGGATGGTATGGCTTGCGCACTCCAACTGTATGTGCTCCTGAGGCACCACCTCCGTGGTTCCTCTTCTCGTAAGGCGATGTGTAGCCCTCGTTGCTGTTCTGGCTCTGGTAGTAGTGCGGCGTGGAGCTGTTGCTGTGATAGCCCCCGCTGTTGCCGCCTCCACCCGCACTGCTGCTGCCACTGCTTCCATTGTTTGGAGCCGGCGGAGTGCTGAACAGCGGAGCCTGCCTACCAGGAGCCGCTGGAGTGCTAGGAGCTGATTGCGAAGCCCCTGGATCCATGTTACCACCGTTGGCAGGGTAAAAAGGACCCGCTGAGATAAGAGCATGATGGGGAGCACTCTGTGGTGGTGGTGGGGGCGCCTGTTGCACCACCTGAGGAGCTGTTGGAGGACCTCCTGGTCCTCCGGCCGCTGCTGCCGCCGCCGCTGCGTAGGGGAAGATATTCGTTGGGATCAGCGCGGTGGCATGTTGAGCGGGCAGAGCGTACACATGGGCACCAGCCGCACCACTGAGATCCGTGCCAGCCGCTGCACCACCGTGGGCCAGCGTCAGTGTGGGCAGCGCATGATATGTGGTTGTGCTGGCCGCCGGCGCAGCAATGATCTGGGCAGAACCTGCCGACGGATGATGGCCACCACCGGCATGAGTCACCGAATTCGGTGTGTAGTTGGCATTGTAGTGGATGGAGCCACCGCCTGGTGTGCGCTTCACTCGAGTGCCATAGCCACTGGAGGTCACCACTGATCCGTTGCTCGAGTGCTGCTGCTGATGGTGGTGCTGCGCATGTGACTGGTGGTGCTGTTGGCCTGAAACTATAAAGAACCCTAGTTATGTAAAGTTAAACTTTATGGACAGATTTGTAATTCTCACCTGAAACAACCGTGGGTGGACCAGTGGCCGTCCCAGATCCCGTATGCGCCGCCTGTTGTTGCATCGGAGCCTGTCCCACTGGTGGCTGAGAGGCCACTAGGGGCGCTGCGGCCACCGCCTGCTGGGGCACGTAGTACGAGATGGGCTGGTAGTACGGGTAGGAGTATTGAATCGGATACGGAGCCATCGGAAGCTGTTGCAGCTGAGCTGCACCGCCCGGTTCGCTGGAGTAAATGAGCGGCGCCTGGTAGATGGGCCCACCATTGGGAGCCGCTGCCGTAGCAAACTGCGCCGTTGGATAGGCAGCCGCCGCCGCCATTGGCATCACTGTGGTGGCTCCTGGTCCGCCAGGTCCCGCCTGGTAGATGGCCTGCGCCGGGATAAGTCCCTCGCGCGGCTGCTGAGCGGGATCGAAGACAGGTATCATGTAGGTACCGCCGGGTATCTCTCCGCCTGCCTCAGGGGAGGCAAAGAGAGTCTGACCGGGCGGATGACTGCTGGTGGTCAGTTGGAAGAGCGGCTGCGAGGCACCGCCGGCTGTGCCTACACCGGGTTGCGGATAGGCAGCGTAAACCATACCTTGCGGCACCGCATAGATACTGCCATCGGGCTGAAAGAGTAATACAAAGTAAATCATGAGTACGGAGGATTTCCAATCTCTGGATGAACTTACCCCCTGCTGATATGTGGTGGCGCAGTAGGGCGCTGCCCCGTTGGGCGTAGTGGTGGTGTGAAAGACAGTGGATCCGTCTGGCGCCTGGTAGCTCTGTGTGTACGTCCAGGTGGTGGTCTTGGGCTCTTCGACGGCGGCACTGGGCGCATGACTCTGGCTAGGTGTCTTCACCTCACACTGGCTGTAGGGCGTGGAGCTGGGCGAGACCGATTGTAGGTCACAGTTCACCTGCGTAGCCATCGGGAGCGGTGTCTGGCTAGACGGGAGTTCAGTGATGCCCACAGAAGAGGTAGCTGAACCGGAAGATGAGGGTCCAGCCATTGGTTCCTGTTCCTGCTCCTGTTGCACTGCAGTCTCCAATTCCAGCTTCTCAACGACGGCACAACAGGCGGGTATATTCGGACTGGTTGCCTGATTTTTGTACTTCTGAACCTCGATGCGATCGTAGTTCTTCGTTGAGGTGGATGTGGTGATGCTCAGACAGGCGGTGGCACTGGTCAGGCTATCACAATCGTCGCCTTTAATGCTGGATGTATCCCCGTTGCCCGAAAGTTGCTGCTGGACAGGCAACGATTGCTGCTCGTAGCTCTCGTATCCCTCGGAACATTCAATTCCTGGCGACTGTGCTTCCTCCTCGGCATAACTTTCGGTGGAGCTGCAGGACAGCTCAGTGGTGGCATATTGCTGGTTTGGTTGCTGCTGATGTTGCTGCTGCGGCTGCTGATGTTGCTGCTGGGACTGTTGCTGCTGCTGCTGTTGCTGGTGTGGCGACGATTTGCGATAGTTGTTGTAGCCACCGGAGGAGTTGCCTTGGTTCTGCGACTGATACTGATTGCCCGTGTGCTGAAGCGCCTGGTTGGGCGGCAGATTGGACGGGTCGTAATGGTAGATGGAACTGCAAAAATCGAATAAACTTATTAGGTTTTTGAACTCACATCATCAGATTTTTGCTGATAGGATTGAGTGTTATTTGGGTTTTTTCTCGCTCGGTGGCATGCAACGTTCGAATAGGAAACGTAAGTACAAAGACAAATAAAACTGTGATTAAAATAAGATCTTTCAGATGTATAACAAAATCTTAGATGATATATAACAGTATAATAAATGTTTTGGAAAGATGTTATTCCTTATTATTTTAATCACAGTTAAGTAAAAATATATAAAAGGAAAGAACAGTCGACATAAGCGGCTGCTGACAGAGTTGCCACAGTTTTGCGGTTTTTTTATATTATTTTTTCTTTGTTTTTGTTTTGCAGTGTGTTAGCGACGCGACGGCAGCGACAGACATTTAGTATTATATAAAAGTAATTGAAAAAACAACAACAACAAATGGCTTGACTGATTGGATTGATACAATGCTATATGCAAATTGAACAAACACAACAATTAGGATATGACTGACGACAACACTGGCAGACGATAGACGATAACACACGAAACATTCAACTCATTCATTCGATAGGCTAATAATCTTGAACTTTCGATCAACGTTGGAGAGGCAAGCTTGGTGATATTTTGAGAATATGAAAAGTGGAGTGGTTTTTGGTTAGGTTTATATATATTGGTATAACGCCCAGGTGTGTTGTGTGTTTTTTGGTGTCACATGAAATTGGGAGATATAGGCACAGATCAAGAAGATATATAGAGAGGTGAGAGGCGAATAGTTATATTCGATAGCAGTTGGTGTGGCGCTTGGTGTCGGTTAATTTAGTTCGAGTTTAGGCAGATAATTTACAAAAACAACATCAATAAGTCTTCACGAAAAATCAAAAGCTAATAATATTGCATATATCACATATAGTAACGTATTAATATTTATGGTAAATAATATTAAATATCATGGCTAGTTATATAAGGATATTTGAAATATATCTAAGTATTTGGTAAAGCTTCAAGCAATTAACTTTTGCGTATCGAACACAGATATTTAAGTAACTTTTTAAATAAGATATATAAAATAAAACTAATCTTGAGATATGTTGGTATTTAAGTTTTCCACAAATAGTTAAGTTAATTTTCCTGTGAGTTAGCAGAATAATAAAATTATTTAAAAACTTCATATAGCATATGTTACGTTAAGATAAGTATTATTTTTGTACAGAAAGTGGATTAAATATGCATTACTACAAACTGTTCTTTGATATTAATTAGATAACTTTGATAAGTATAAGGATTAACAAAAGCTGAACTATATTTTTTAGTTTAAATATATATATATATATAAATCTGTGTCCTAAAGCCGCACTTGTCGCTATGTTTATTTCAAGTTAGAATATGTGTAAATCGAGGAAAAAATTAAATAAACGGATATACGAAAAGCAATTGCAGTAAACAAATGCGAAAATTTTGCAGCGATTTCTGTATTAGATTATTTTTTAGTTGTTTGTGTGGTTTAATTTTTTCTTTGGTTTAGTTTTTGTAAATTACCCGTCTGCATTGACAATTGGTTGGAGGGTTTGCGGATCAATGAGGAGGCTGCCAATTGGCACATTCGAAATGTCTGTGACGGCCCAGACGAGTCCCGACGTTCCCGACGAGCAATTGGTCGTGGACGATGGATCAGCCCCGATGGCTTCGTTGCCCATTTCCACGGGAGATGTGTTGACTGCTCCTGATCCTGTACCGCAGACAACACCACACGATGTCATGGTTGATGCCACCCGGCTGTGGGCACCCACCATGGGTGCGTGGTTTAACTCCGGCGTCTGCCTGTCGCTGCCGTAACCCGTCGGCGATGGCGTTACGGAGTCGGAGCGCACGGATTGGGTGCGTGTCTTATAGCTGGACGGTGGGGAGTTGGTTTATATGTTGGTTGGTTCATTTGTTGTTGTTATTATTGTTGTTGTTGTTGTCGGGGATTGCATACAAAAATGTTTTTTGGTTTTTTGGGGTATTTTTTAGGGTTGTCAATTTAAAATTATTCATAATTTAAGAAATGGAGCGAGAGCGATTTTGAGTTCGGGTACATGGACATGGTTTAAACATAAAGTTTATCTTTAATGACCGGCTTCACTACAGTGGAGATCCTTAATGCAAATACATTTTTAAATAATCGAACTCAAAAATCTTAATGGAGAATGATAACCGAAGTAAAGAAACCTAAAACACAGTCCTTACAAGTTCAAGAGTTTACAACTTTTTCAATACTTGCAGTCGAAAGATTAACTACTTATAAAATACCAACAAAAATATAGATAAACTTAAGAAATTACTATATATTCCTTGTCTTAGTGAAACCGGTTACATTTAATGATGTTTAAGAGACAGACTTTGAGGGTACTCACCCACTGCTGGAAGGAGACAGTCGCCACGGAGTGCTGCCAGTCGAATCCTGCTTCACGAAACCGCCGCGTCCACTTTTGATCGAGTTAGTTGAGTCGCCTCGTGGCAAGGAGTTGTTGCCAGGTCCGCCTGAACTAGGCGGTCCGCCGTAGTTGCCAAAGTTGTGAGACTTGGGCACGGCTCCTCCGGATCGCATGCCATCACGTGATTCCGTGGACTAAGTATAAACATAAGTTAGTAAACCCATCTAGTTTACATTAATAATCTCTAATAGAAATCGTACGTTCTGCATCTGCAGCATCTTTCCATTGGGCCTCTTAGGTCTGGGGGGCTGAGATTGCTTCTGCTGCTGTTGCTGCTGCTCCCAGCCGCCATAGCACTCCTCCTCACCACCACCGGAATATCCCTCATGATTGCCACCCGTTCGGCTAAAGATACGGCTGCGCGCCCGATCATAGTCCTCCTCACGCTCCTCAAAGCTCTTGGCCTTCCGGTCCAGGGAGAGGGGGCACAAATACGGTGACTGGCGCACCTCGTCGAAGCTGTGCGTGTCCCGCTTCAGAATTGACTTGCGTGCATCGTCGCGCACCAGCGACTGGAAGCGGATCTGAAAGAATATTGATTAAGTAATTAGTACACATACTATATGCGGTTCACGTATGACTAAGTACCTCCGGTATACGCGTGTTCTTGGCCACGGCCACAATCACACACTGCTGCGTCTCTGTGTCCACGTTGTGCTCCATGCCAAAGAAGGCGGCCGTGCGATGGATTAGCATGCGATTGTAGGAGGAAGCTGGAGGAAAACGATACTCACAACCGCGACTATAAGAGAAAGAATATAATTAGATTTCATAAGTGAAAATGCGTTTTTCCTTATCACTTCAGCTTACCTATTTTCCTGGACGAACTCCATTAGATCCTTCTCGATCTTCAGTAGGATATTGCGATCCTTGGGGTTCTTGTTGAGCGTGTCCCGGAAGAAGACCAGCAGATCGGTGCCGCCATAGTCCGTGTACTGCTCACTCGAGTTCTCTGATTGATGAAAGACTAGAATCAGTGAGTGATGAGCCGTGGGTATTTGGCCATTGACGAAAAGCCGCCACTTACCGCGCGATATGAAGCCCGAGGTGTTGTTGCTCGAGTTGTTGGACATGCCATTGTTGGACATGTTACCATTTCCGTTGCCGCCGCCGCCTCCTAAATCAATGCTGCCAGATGAGCTGCCACCGAGATTCTTCAACCGTGGTTTATTACCTTTGGCATTGGTGTTGGGACGATGCTTCTTGCCACCGCCTCCACCTCTGGGCTCATAATGATACGGCTCCTCATCATGGTTGTTGCTCAGATTGCTGTTCTGGCTGGACATCTCATGACGCTCGTGGCGATCATGTCGCTCCGCCGCCTTGTAGTTCATCCCGGAGTTGTAGAGTACACCCGTATTGGAGTTGTTATGTTGCTTGTTGTTGTTGTCCAAACCATTGGCCTTTAGATCAACCACAAACTTCTTGTTGCTGCTGTTGTTATTGTACTCCATACTGCTGCCATTGCTGTTGGTGCGGTTGTGCTGACCACCGGACTTCTTTGGTGGCGATAGCTTCGGGAACTCCGCCTCATTGCTGAGTGGCACGTTCTGCTGAGGCTTCGGAGGCACATGCTGCTGTTGCTGTTGCTGCTGCTGTTGCTGCTGCTGTTGCTGCTGCTGCGGTTGCTGACTAGTGACAATCACGGCTGGTGTCTCCATCAACGGCGAGTTGCCCCTTCCAGTTGATTGTGCTTTGCTGTTGATATTATTGTTATTATTGTTGTTGTGCTCGTGGGATTCCCCCTGGAGCTGCTGCTGTTCAGAGGCAGCCCGCGGCGTTGGCGTGCGAGGTGGCGAAGTGGACTCACGCATCGCATGGCTGCGCGTCAGATGTTTGCCCTTCATGTTGCCCTGCAAGGAAAATGAGAAGAGGGTTGAAGTAATTAGTTTCGAATTAGTAACAAACGAATGTCAAAGTTGACCAGGGGTGAATCCACAGGCAAACTTCGAAGTCAGAGCTTATATGCCAAAGGTTTCAGCACACGATAAAGGTTAGATGACTAAATCTGTTTATATTAATTCAAGTCTCCTTTGGGAAATTTCCTTAAAGAGAGGCTTCACTATGCCAAACAGGAGGCGGGCACGTAAAGTCGATCCATGATGCAATTGTTGGCTCATTGAAATGTGAAAAACAAACGGCCCACTCACACAGGGAAAACCGAAAAGGTTACCGGGGAGTAAACTCCGCCTGGTTGCCGTGCTAGGCTTATAATATATGATATAAATTATATAGTATATACCTCAAACCTACGCCTAGAGTTGCCTTTTGACATTTTTCGCGCGCTGAAGGACGACAGGACGGAGAGACCTGAGGATAAACTCAGTCAGGCGTTCAGTCTGTCGGCCAATCGTTCAAGTTTAGTCATCAGGCACATTAATTTCGTGCCTCTGTTATTTGTTTGCCTCCATTGATTTTCTGCTATACGAAAAACTAATCGAAACTGACATCATTAATCAGCTGTTGAAGTCACTCGACGTGGCCAACAGGCCAAATTAACACTTGAAGTTCCACCAGGAAAGAAGAGAGTAAGAAGGGGTTCTATAAGCTGCTATGGTTCCTTCCTTAATAAACTTTTCTTTAGTGATTTCTTGATTACAACTTAGTAAAATGTAATTAAAATATCATAATTTACAGATATAGACTTATGCAGGACTTGGGCTCACCTACATTCGATATAATATACACGAAATATTCCCTTAAACACAACATTAAAGGTAGACAAACTTCCGCGCAATTAACAGATTTTCCACTTGAAAGAAAGACCTGATGGCCCAGCTTACTTATTGCAATTGGCAGATTTTGTAAAAGAAAAAGTTTACTGGGCAACCTCAAGAGGAGGGCTAATTTTCAAATTCTTCGAACTGACTTTCAAAGTGATTTCCAGGAATCTCGTACGCCCATTTAACTTTCATTGTGGGAAAAATCAATAAATCGACCTTGGAGCCACGCAGCAGCAGCACCAAATCGTAATACCAGCTGCCAGTGAATGCTTCAAAATTAGAGGAGAGGGTGAGGGTGGAACCAACCAAGGGGCACCAGGAAAACCACTCTATCGCCCAGGACATAAACAATGATTGACGATAAATCCTGCATGAGTAGTTAACCAAGGCAACCGACCGACCCAGCAATCACCCAACCACCCACCGACTCACACATAAACCTTGAACTCTGTTGGCAAAAAAGCGCTTAGAAATGTCTGGGATTGTGGGCCAGTAACGAACTGCAGCAGGAGCAATCAGAAACACGTTTACCAATTGCAACACTTTGGCCATTCGGGGTCGATTGGGGAATTTCCAGCAAATGCGATTCGCAGAACTGTAATCCCCACCCCCATATAGACCATAACCCATAAACCCCGAACCCCCGTCCGTTTGGACTGCCAGTGACCTGACCCAGTTTATTAGACGTTTTTTGGGCGTGTATCCTTTGCTCGAGAGTTCAGTTCATGGCTGCACTTATGTGTGTGCATCCTGCGAGCGAAAGAGAGAAGATACCAGCCATGTGCACTACCAGAGAGAGCTACGAGAATCGAGAGCAGGGCCACAAGCATGATGATGAGAAGTGGAGAGACTGCAACGCCTGACACCTGACAAGACCTGACCTATATAGACCACTTCTATAATCTCTGCATTCCACTTTATGGTTAACCTATTTAACTATATAACTATAGTTTATGGACTTTACTTACTCGTCTATTGCCAAAGCTGTTCTGGCGTCCCAAGTTGGAGGATCCACTGGATCCGACCACCGTCTGGCACTCTTCGCCGCAGTTGTTGTTGATGTTGCTGCTGCTGCAGTTGCTTGAGATTGTTGCAACGGAATTGGAGGATGTTGTTGGTGCGGATGTTGCTGATGTGACGACTGTTGTTGATCCTGTTGTTGATCCGGTAGCTACTGATCCTGTTACTCCTGTTCCTGTTCCTGCTCCTGGTCCTGAACCCACTCCGGATGAGTTAGTGTTTGAGGCAACGGCGGCGTTGGCACTGGCAACAACAACAACGGCGGCCGCAGCGGCCGCTGTTGAGGCAGAAGCGGCAGAGGATAAATTGGTTGGAATATTCGTAGCTAGGGCTACTTGAGATTTTGTGGAACTCATAATCACAGTTTATGTCAAGTGTACTGAAAGGGGAGAAGAAAAATGTTGAAATTAAGTTAGTAAAGTAATCAAAACTATTAACTAATTAAGTCATTTGAAAAGTAATACTAGGAAATTTAAATCTTAAATAAAAATGTAGTAAAAAACTGAAAGCAAATGAAAAGTTGCTGTTAAGCTTTTTCTTCTATTTCAATGGCTAAGTTTTAAAGACATTTCAAAATCAAATCTTGAATCTTAAAAATATCATATAAACCCACAATGATTACCTCAATAAGTGAGCTAGACTATTGCATTTTGTTTACACGGTTTTATGTAGCTCCAAAAATTTGTTAACAAATTTTCGTCAATGGTTAGTTTTGTCTTTTATTTTGTTTTTGTTGTCTGCGGTTCATAAGAATTTTTGCATAGTTTTCTTTTTTATGTTTTAATATATTTGTACGAATATTTAATAATGGTTTTTAATTTATTATTCTTTCAGAAAAAAAAAATCATATTTGTCGAAAAGTTGCGGCAGTGCAGTTGAGAGAATATTTTGTTTATAAAATAGGTTAAACCAAAAATCTCTGACGCTGTTGTTGTTGTTGTTTTCACTCGATTTGCTTTGGTTTTGTGCGACTTAGATTAGTTTAGTTTTAGTTTAGTTTGTTTATAAGATGCAATGCTTAGTACTTGTAGATAAATAGTTATTGTATTGGATTTTCGTGGCAAAAAACTTTGCGAAGGAAGGAAAAATAAAACACTATTCGTAAGGTATTTTTAAGTTTTTCTTTTCTTTGTTTGTTTGTTTGTTATTGTGGTAATTGATTTTTAAAACGTTTGCTTGTTTTTTGTTGTTATGTTTTTTATGTTTTTTAGAACGTTGTTTATCACATTTACACCATATCACCGAAAATCAGAAGCTGCCCTCGCTCTTTTGGTCTGTACACTTGCTTGATTTTCCCAGTTATTTTGTTTAAAAATTAATTCATTTATCCACTAAACACTTAAGTTGCTATTTCTATAATTAATTTATATATATATATATATGTATGTATATATATTTATGTATATTGTATAGTTAAAAATATTTTAGTTAAAGCTTTCTTTCTTTCTGGTTGTTGTTTTGTGATTATTTCTCTCGCTGGTTTTTCCTTCTCCTCAGGCTTCTGTTGTTTTATTTTCTTTTTTGTTTATTATTATTATTGAGATTTATTCCTTCTGGCTGTCTATATAGTTCAGGTTCTTTGAGGATTTCTTTGATTTCCTGTTGTTTCCTGCTGTGGCACACATTTTACTATCTGCAAAGTTCGAGGAAGTTTAGTCGAGGGCTTTTCCCCGAGAGAAAAACGCGCAGACGAAAGAGAAAGAGAGTGTGCGAGTGAGAAATCGAGAAATTGAGAGAATCCCTTAGCAAAACTGTGTATCCGTGTGTCACACACTCGTAGACAATATGACCTTGTTTACGATTTATTTTGATATTCAAAACTGCACGAACCGAAAGCCGAGAAAATTTCATGATGCGAATATTGCCCTCGGCACGATTAGAAGGGTGGATATTCGCCTGCTCTCTATATATCTTCAGGGCTCCTCACAGCTCCTTCCGAATATCCTTATAAGGACTATACACTCACACACACACACACACATACACACGACAACCGCCGACTGGTTCCCTCTTTCAATATAATTATCTAGAGTTTTTGATTGCCACAATTTATGGAGTAGGTAGCTAATTTCGTTCACTTTTTATGCGCATTAAAAGGGTTCCGCTGAACACCGAAAAATGTTTCAAATTTTTTTGATGTTTATCTGTCCGAGTTGAATGGACTTTGCATAATAATAAGTGAATCAGTCGGTGCTTGCAACGGCAAGTAAGGGAGTCTTGGGAAAGGGACTCAATTTTTATAATTAAAAATGCTAGGTAAAGTAAGGACAACGGAAAAATCCCAAAAATTGAATATCGAACAAATCATATTCTCTTAAGTTATGAAAATATACAAAAAATACTTCATTTAGGAATGATTAAGATTGAAGTAGTTATTACTTATAGTTTATATTGCTTTGCCTTAACATTTACTTCAATACCAAAGCCATAAAAACATGATGAAATTTCATAGTAAGCTTTTCCTATTACGATTTATAGATTATTATTTTCCTTTCCTCTGTCGCAGCACTTTTTTTTACAAACACTTACAAGCCAAAACCCATAAGAGCCATAAATGCAAATATAAACAAAGCAGACAAGTCACTAGATGAAAGAAGGCTTGGAAGAAGAGGGTCTCCTCCCCCTTTTCTGAGCCAAAAAACACCTGGCCAAAAGGCGAAATGCCATGACAGTCGCAGTGAATCTTTTATTCTGGGAAATACCCGCGAAAAATGCGAATGGCGAGTGGAAGCGAGAAATGAGAAACGAGATTTGGAGAATCGTTGAAAAGTAGCGGAAAAGTGGGCAGGTGACAGATGACGTAGCCGCCTTAAAAAGAAACACGCATACGACGTGTGGCACACGACCAAAACGAAGGTGACGACGTCGTCGTCGTCTTAGTCTTCGTTTTTCCACCGCTTTTCCTTCTAACCGCCTTTGATAGAAATGAGGCAAAGGCAAAGTTCGCCAACGTAATTTGGGACAAGAGTCGGAAAATTGCATTCGGGAGAGGAGAATCGGAATAGCATTCAGAAAATCCCGAAGAGGGGGGGAGGTGGAATTATGAGTTGCATGTGGCACGGTATTACGACTTGGCCTTCCTGCTGTTTAGCTGTTTACAGCTGCTCACTCACTCATTACCCACACCCTCTCGCTCATGGCCTATCGGGCTCTCCTTTTCGGACGGCCAACCGCTCAAAATGACAAACAAAAAAGCTTCCCGTAGTGCCGAGTACTAGGAAATGTGTTGCGGTTGTCTAGTCTGCGGAGCAGAAGCTCCAAGGCGCCTGCGTGGGAGAATCCAAAAAAAGTAGAGAGATAGAAAGAGCCTCTGGATAGTACACTCGGAAAAAACCTGGTTATTATGATAATATTATTGATTGAGTATTTAATATTGTGATCTCTTTCTTTTAGTTTAAATACATTTTCCTTTTATTGTTATTAAACTTCGAAAAAGGGATACCCAATATTAACAAGCCGTAATTTCTCCAAGTGTACCCTCAGAGAGAGCACGGCGTGCCTGCACTTTAGAAGCTCGAGCAGGATGTTGGCTGCAATGCACCCGCAAAGGCGGCGAAGGAAGGGAAATGGAAAATGAGCCAGCGAAAAACCCCAACACAAGCTAAAAGAAGAGGGCCAAATGGGGCGTGCATTTCCACCTAGAGCGAAATGATTATAATTTGTTGACAAGTCGATGATACATTCCAAACATGCATTTTCCAACCACTCTCAGTGAAAAACTTACTAATTTGTACGGCGAAACGTCACTGAGTTGCCGAAAAGGAAAATAAAAAGGCAGAAAAAGAAAAGTACGAAATGAAAAACGAACCCGAGGAAAAGACCCGAACACTCGTATGAGTAAGTCTATGTGTGTGTGTGTGGGGGAAAACGTGTGCGACTGTGTATGTATAATACACCAAAAATGCCACACAAAAAAAAAAAAAATTGTCTTTAAAGCAAATGAAAATTCCTCGCGCGACTCGAAAACATTTTCTTTTTCGCACACATTTTTCTTTGCACTTTTCTGGTAGACAAGTTTTTTTTTATATATTTTTAAACACTCTGCCCGGCAAAAGGGGCTTCCTTTTCAGCTTTACATATATCCATTTACCACTCGATGTCTGCAGTTTCACTCGAATTCGAAAACCGATTTTTATTTTTCACTTTTTCCAACGCGCGTGCCATTTGTATTTCCTTCTTCTCCTTTTTGTATTTTCCATTAGCAATTCTGGTGTGTTGTATTGAGAACCCCCAACCCAAAAACCCCATCGACCATTGGTCTTCTCTCTCTCTCTCGTTTCCCCCCTCTCTCTCTCACTCTCGCACTCTCTTTTTTGTTATTTTTGTATATTTTCTTGAAAAACTAATTTTCTCGGGCACTAATTTTTCTTGCCTCCGCTCGTTTGCTTCATTGTGAAAAATGTATTTTTAAGCTGCTGCTGCTCCGCTTCTCCTATAGATGTTGCTGCCGTGAATGTTGCTGCTGCTGCTGCTGCTTAGTGTTGCTGCTGTGGATATTGCTTCTGCTGCTGCTGGTACGGATGACAATGACAACTTTGGCAACGGCTGCGACAGAAGCGACGACCGCTGGCGGACATTATGGGAACACGGCCGAATTGATACTGGGCCAATTCGCTGGCGAAAGGTCTCTTTTTCTCTCACTAGAATCTCTCGGCTAAAAATCTCCTTCTTCGTGTGCTTTTCCCCAGAAGGGTGGCAAAATACAAAAAAAAAAAAATTAATAATAAGGAAAAAGAGCGAAGCGCTCGCTCTCTCTCGCACGCTCGGTCAGCAAAAGAGAGCCCTGCGAGTGCGTAAAAGCTTCGCGGAAAACAGGTTAAAGCGTATAGGTCTCCCCCTTCTCTCTTTCACACTCTCTAGCCCCCTCTCTATCTCTATATATCCTCCCTACTATATAGTTCGCCCGATGTCCCATGGCCCAGAGGCAAAATGCTTATTGGGGTGGCATTTGCTCGAGTCTCTCCACTCTGCATTCACTCAAAGAAATTATGTTTTCGGTGGGTTGCAGACAAAAATTAACGGTTAGTTAATTAATTAACAATCATTAAGTTAAGTTATTAAATAATAAATGTTCGATAACAAGAAAGTATTAAAACATTTTCAGTAAGAATGAAGAAATAATGAAGCTTTTCTAAAAAGCAAACTTTTTGTTCAGCATTAAATTTACATCAATATTTTCTCTCAGTGCTCTCATCTACTCCTTCTTGTTGCTGCTACTCCTGGTAGCTATTGTTGTTGTTCTTATTGTCCTGCTGGTGCGTTTGTATGCGTGCGCTGCGTACCGGAGTGCAGTTGTTGTAGTTCTTCTGGTTACTGGGCATCTCATCCTTTATGCTTTTCTGCGTTTTTTTTTGCCTATATATCCCTATATCCCTGCTTGGTTCTGTGGCTTCACTTCCTAGCAGGCCACAAAAGGACCTTGGACATGTGAACATAAATGCGTGAGAGGGAAAGGTAGAGAGTCCTGGTGAAAGAGAGAGAGAGAGCAAGCGAACCAAACAGGAATGTTTGTGGCACAAAAACAAAGAAAATACAAAAAAGTCGATGATGTTTTCCATGCTCTACCTGGGAATCGAATTCAATTTTAATTGAATGTAAATACCAAAAGAGATTTTCCATCAAAGCAATCTAAATCTCGGATTCAAACACTTTTAATCAAATTATTTATGCGAAAGCCGCCCAGCAGATAAATGAATCGAAATAGTTTTAATAAAAAGCGAAGAGCCATTCGACTAAAGGATATCCTTTAAACTTGAAATTGTTACCATAAAGAAGAGCTTAACAAAGATCTCTTTGATCAAGAACTTACTACAACTAACAAAACAGTAAAGTTTAAGGAAACATAAAGTGCAAGAACCATAATTACTTTCATTAAATATCCTTTTAAGGATTTCCACGAAGCAAACTTTATTTACCACTTAAAACTTTATCCCATAAATCATCATATATACCCTATATTCAAGCATAAAACTTTTTCCAATTCAATTACCCTCGCAAATCACTGGCAAATTGACCAAAAAAGTGTCCATCAATTGATGCCCGTCTCCGTCTCTTTTTTACTGCCCTTTTGCCATCTCTTTTTCGCCTGCATATCTGTCAATTTATAGCCTGAAATTGCATTTGATTCCTGACGGGATACGCCAGTTATTTTATTTGCCTCTGACTCTCCGCTTTCCCAGATGATGAATGCATTCATCCTTTGAGTGGGCAATAAAAAAGCTTTTAGAGTTCCATTGCTTAAGGGGGGGAATCAAGAAAAAATAGGGGGAGAAAAGTAGCGTTAAGGAGGCGACAGGACAGTTTTTGCACTGTCGTTGCCAATAGTGTTAAGCCAGGAATGATTTCTAATTTGTCTGCCTAAAATTAGCTCGATTTGTAGTGTGGCTAAAGAGGAAATTTGATAAAAATGTTTTCCCAACCAACAAATTAATAATTTAAAAAATACCTACTAAGTGTATTTAAGTTTCCACTTTATAGAATTCCTTTCATGTGCACTGTGGCTTTCATGCCGCAAATTTTGGGATGAATGTCAGGTAAAGTGTGTCCTAGATTCCACTACGAACACAAACAAACGCAAACAGCCACAAACATAGACACACATAGGCATTCCACCCCGAAGTATGCAACATAATTTTAGTGCAAACAACGCAATAAGCTCGACTTTTTGTCTAGCAGGACCTTGAATTCAATCAAAGTTGCGCCAGCCATCCATCTCTTTCTGGCCTTCTATCACTCCCTTGCTCGCTCTGGCAAATTGCAAAATAATTTGCATCGATTAGCCAAATGAGTTCCGGGCATTCCTTGCTCCCTTATCTCTCTCGCTTTTTCTCTTTTTTTTTTCTTTTTTGCTCTCAAAAGACTTTTTGTCGCCTTTTGTGGCAGCATCTGGGGGATGTCGAAATGCGTTTCCCCAAATGCGTCGTAATAAATAATTTATGTAAAATGCTGGGAATATTAGGAATGGCACACGGAAATGATGGTATACTGGAACAGAGAAAGAGACAGAGAAAAGGACGAGGACGAGACTGTTGCTCCTTTCTCTCTTCTCCCTTCGGTTAATGTAATTGCATATTCGTGAATGTCGCGCCTTTCGCCTGCAATTACGACATCTTATTTGGGTCAACACGGAGAGATAGCTCTCTAGAGAAAGAGAGGGGGCTTAACGAGAGCGAAAGAGTGGGGTATAGTGGCGATAGAAAAAGAGAGGTTTCTACCGACCCGCAGAAAGAGAGAGAGGGGCCGAGCTTAAGCTCTGCCGCACGTGTGAGCTTAAAAGCGCATCGCATTTCGAGGCCAAGTGCCGAGTACGAGGATACGAGAAGAATACGAGGATGCAAGGATTCGAGGACTCGAGGATACTACCAGCATCCGTCTGTCACTTCCGCTGGCAACTGCAGTACCCAAACAGGGGGGTTGGTTGCTTTTCCGGGGGGCCGGAGGAGGTCATCGTTGGGGGTGTCCAGTGGGTGTGGCCTGCGTTGGCCCAGTTTAGTTGGCCTGGCCCACAGGGCACAGATATGCAGATGCTAACTGCACTGATTTCCTGCTGGAAATTCAATTTAAATTCTATAATACCTGTATTTCCACCCAGTAAGGCAAAATATATCATACGAAATGGCAGGAAATTAAAGTTTTTTAAATAAAGGTAAAAAGTATTAAATTTATAAATCAAAAACAAGCAACTGAGAAAACATAACATAAATCATTTTAAAGCAAACCTTATTGCATCTCGGAAAACTTTCTCAACCAAAAGGTCAAAGTAAACTCAATTTGAGCATTTTAAAAGCAGCCAAGAGGATTCAATAATAGCTCTTAGATTACACTTTAGTTAGTCAGAGATTTTCGCACTACACAAGATGAAGGAGATGGAAGAGATGGAGCAGAGAGAGAGATGGCCATTAAAGTCTTTTGTGACGATCCTGCTGGGGGATATTAAGCAAGCAAATCTAATCTAATTAGCCGGCAAATGCCAAAGCAGAGTCAACTCTTGCTTGGCTATATCCATCCACTTTGGACCCCCTTAAACCGCCCTCCTTGTCACCTGCTTAACACCTCGACAACTGTACGTAGTACACCCCCGCCTCGTTTTATGGCGCAATTAAAATGCTAAATGCTTTACGACATCGCCCAGGGGGGCTCCTTTAATTAATTTGCCTGTGACAATGACTGGGCCATGCCGTGTCTCGTGTCCTGAAGCGACCATGAAAGGTGTTAACAACAAACGCCTGGCTAAGAAAGGAGGTAGCAGGCTGGCAACGGCACCTTTCACTTGACCCAGACAAAAAGAAAAAAAAAGATAGACAGACAGACAGGCAGGTGGAAGAAGAGGGGCCGCAGAGAAGTCTTCATTTGAGCGCTTCTCCAACCTAAAACCTCCTTGCTAAAACCCTGATTATGACAGATTTGATGGATATAGTCAGCCTCAACTGGCCATCTCATGGGAGCTCCTGTTTTCATACCCTATTTACTCGGATTTTAGAAGTTTAATAAACTTACTTAACATTTTCATAATAAAGTAAGAACTTATGTTAGTTCATAAGATTAGTAATGACCCTTAAAAACTATTAAAGTTTCAGCTTTAACTCTCTCTGAAAACCAGAAACATAAAATCTAATCTAATTCAAAGAAATATTTAAAAATCATTGAAACTGTTGCCAGCACTTCTCTGATTTCATTTTAGCTGACATACGGCTAAAACTTTTAAGGCCACGTTGAGCAACCTTTTGAGTTCTGCGACACACAGCGAAAAAAAGCCAAGCTAAGCACGACAGGCCAAGAGTATCAAGAATCCAGACTAGCAGATGTCCTGTAAACGGACTACGATGCTATTCCATCAGAGGCAATATTAATAGGAAGAGGAAAGCTAGACTTCAAGGCTCCTCAATCATTCATTTGGCATATGAAACATGCTCGTTGCATACAAAAAGGGGCACCTGGGAGCCGACATTTGGGGCCATTTGATTGTTGTCTTCAGGTTTCCCCGGGTCCAGGCCACGTAGCTCCGCCCCAGCCGTAGCCACCTGCGGGAATTATGAAATATGCAAAAAGCATCTGCACGGGCCTAGAGGCAACACCAGCACACCATCCCAACCCACCCAACCACCTCCTCCGCTCTTTGCGGGAATAGAATTCGCTTGGCATGGCAACTTTGTCTGCAGAATCTAAAGAGTCAGTCGAGGGGCGGCAGGTGGTGGGCGGAAGAGATGGGGCTCTTTGAGCCAAATCAAAATCAAAAACAAAACTGGCGTAACCGATGTGATGTGATGTGTCTGCTCTTATCACAGGCGATTATTCATAAGGTGCAGTCAACAGAAGTACAGAGGAGCTTGCTTTACAGCTAATTAGCACTTAAAATATTTATAAAATACTTTAGTTAAGATATTAAATTTAAAAACTTATAACAAGAAGCATGATTTATTAGTTACTCGCTTGATAAATTACTTATTAACATTTTATTTGACCTAATAAATATCCAACTAGCAGAAGTTCGACTGTCAAAAAAGAGAAATGCCAAATCAAAAGATGTGCGGCTGCCAGAATGCGTTTGAAAATTCAAATAAAATGGCATCCGATAGCAAGTGGCATGAGCAAAGGCAATAAATTAATTTACACAAATTCCCAACATTCTCGCATGAAAAATGCTTTGCTTTCGCGGCTTTTTGCAGTAAGACTTCTGTGTTCAATTTTTCGTTTTTGTTTTTGTTTTTGTAATGACTGCGAAACGGACGGGCGAAGCGAATCCGAGCGCAACAACAATCGACTAACTAAGTAGCAAAAGCAACTAAGACAGCAACAACCACATTGTCTGACAACGACGACATTTCGTTTATAGCATCAGCCAAGATACATCATCATCTCCTCGGCATCACCATCCAAAAGGCATCATCATCTGAGGAATCATTGAATGCGAATATCCGAATAAAATAATAAACAGAAAAAATACAAAACAACGACGCTGCAGTACAAATTTATAGCATTGCGTATAGAATACAGTAGACACTTGCGTTAATGGAGCTTCAAATTTAAACTTTGTTTATTTATTAGTCATTATTCAAGAAACAAACGTATATTTGATTTAAAAATCCAAAAATAACATTAAAAAATTATCCAAATTATTGTTTATCTTTCTGCCTGATAAAATTCCTTTTTGATAAAATTTGATACAAAAATTGCTGCCAACTGTTAACCATCATTATCCCCCATAAATCTTAACTCAGCCCTATTCCTCAATATTTAGATTTACCAAAAATAAAGTAAAGAGTCATTTTACCTTTTGCCCGGGTTTTTGGTTTTTGGGAGAGAGAATAAACAAACCTGACGACATGATCGCGACGCCACCGATGTAAGAGATATGGAGACAAATGAGAGAAACACCCAGGGAAGCGGAAAAGGGGGGTTATAGCCAGCCTGGTCGGATGATTCGCAAAATAGATTTTCAATAAAACCCACTCGAAAACGCCGACAATGGCGGACGCAGGCCAAAGAGCCATTTCGAATCTATTTTAAACACAAACAAAAGCAATCTCTATAAATCGAGCAACGGCCAAGAGGCAGAAACTTACAAAAACTGTTGGCAAGAATGCGATATGTCACCAGAAGTTGTGGGTTCTATGAGAACTGGAAACAGTTTTTAAAGGTTTGGTAGTCGATGGATTCACAGGAGTCATTAGAACTACAAATTTCGAGTCTCATGAATATAAAAGTTATAGTCTAAGAAGGGCTCTTTTCTGTTTTATCAGGGATGATTTATTATCAGTGACATAGTATATAATACAGTAAAATTTCTGCAATCTGCCAACGTTATATGCAGCAACAAATGAAATGGAATCTGATCACAGATTTAGGTAAATTTGAATTACATATTTAAAAAAGCAAATAGTTTTTTGAACGTTAACGTAACATGTTTAATTTTTTAAGATTTTTGCCATGCATACCATTTCCAGGAAAAAATTCGCATTCGAGGGCGAAAGATTTGGGTCGACTTTTCTAGAAGTTCAAGTTCAAGCCTTGGGCTTCTGTGCATTTTGCAAAAAGTTTTAATCGGTTAATTTTATAAAAAATCTTAAGATAATTTATCGTAAGAGAAAAGTAAAGTTCTTAAATTGTAAAAAAGTTTATAAAAGCCATGAAATCTTTTCTAAAACTAAAACTTATAGAATGACAAATTTATTTCGTAAAACGTAGGACTACCTAAGGAAGGTGGTTATAAACAGCAAAAGTAGGATTACTAGTAATTAATACTCTTTGTTTTAAGTTACTTGTGTGTTAGTTAAACCTAGTATTGCAAGCATCAAGGCCATGAAATCCTTGTATTAGCTATGCTACAACTTTTCCTGAGAACCCCCAATGAAGTTCCTCGGCGAACAAAGTTCCCAACTAAAAACTAAAAACTCCAATTAGACATACACCCCGGAATCAGATAACGGGGCCTTCCCGGCAGCACTACTTTAGAGTATGTACTGCCTTTACTGGTGTATGTATATATAAGTACATGTATGTATGTGTATGTGCTGCACTTCAAAATGCAACCGCGACCGGCTGCAAAATCCGAAAATGTTGCAAAACTTATGTGCAGAAAATTATACACTTTAAGTTCACATCTTATTCGCACCGCCCATTACAGGAAACACATAATTCCAACGATTTTCCTGGTCTTTTTCTTATAAACTCACCATTTTCAGTTCTGCTGCCCATGGCGAGTCGTTGTTGTTGTTGCTTTTCCTTTGCAGTGCTCTCCTTTTTCCTTTAGATCTGCACCTAATTTCTTAGTTTTCCGGGGCGAACAATCAACGGGATCGGCACTGCAAATTTGGGTGTTTTTCGCGGTGTTTTCCTATTTTGTTTAGGCCTTTGTGGCACGCATTTTCACGAAAAAATTGTAATTTTGGCCCCTTGAAAGTGAGACCAGATGAGGCAAAAAAAAATTGCAAATCTTATTTCAATGTTTCAGTATTTTTTTTTAGTATTTCTCCGGTTTACTTCTTGGCTAGTCTTAATTTCCTTTATCCTCCGCATTGGCGCCGTATTTTTTCATTTATCAGAAATGTGCGGTCTTACTAAAAATCGAAAGATGGGCAGCTCTTAGGCTCAGTTCAGTTTTAATATTTTTAAAGCTCAGATATTATTTTAAATAAAATTAGAAAAAACAATGTGAATTGAAAATCTCATCTCTTCCGAAAATCTCTCCTGTTTTTATGCATATTTATTACACATTTAGATACAATTCGCATTGAATAATTCGAGCAGGTATATGAAATTAAGGCAAAAATCTGTTTGCAAAACAAACTTTCAGAGCCGAGTGCATGAACAACGTTAAATTTTCGATTTGGTGCGAGTTACTTTAGTTCAACTTGGTGGTACGGCAGTAGTTAACTTAATTCTTGGAATACATGTCACATGTTTCAACGCCTGTCGTTTCTTTATATCGTAATTTTTTCACAATAATTTATTTAGGTTTTCTCGAATTCAGTTTCGATTTTCGACACTTTTAGCTTAACTTTAGGTTCATCATCATGAGTTTGCGTATACGCTTTGATCGGCGTACGGTTTCCGTTTTGGTTATGGCCTTTATTTATTTACACTAACTCCAGACGCTTCATTTCCTTGAAGAGCTCATGGCCCATTTTGGCAGGACTCCTGGTCACAATAACGCCGGCCTTCTCCAAGGCAGCGATCTTGTCGTTGGCACCTCCCTTTCCTCCAGAAATGATGGCTCCAGCGTGACCCATGCGACGGCCGGGTGGCGCCGACACTCCGGCAATAAACGACACCACAGGCTTAGCCTTGATGCCCTGTAATGACATAATTCAAAGATTAGTAAGACATCTTTTCAATAAATAAATAATAAACTTCTCATACCGAATTGTATTCGGTCAGGTAGTCGGCAGCCTTCTCCTCGGCCACACCTCCGATCTCTCCGATCAGGATGATTCCCTTGGTCTCGGGATCCTTAAGGAAGACCTCCAGGCAGTCGATGAAGTCGGTACCGTTGAACGGATCACCTCCAATGCCCACGCAGAGGGTCTGGCCCAAGCCGACCTCCGTGGTCTGGTGAACAGCCTCGTAGGTCAGGGTTCCCGAACGGGACACCACACCGATCTTGCCCCGCTTGTGAATGTGACCCGGCATGATGCCGATCTTGCACTACAAAAGAAAATAAATATTAGTTTTACTGTTTAGGAAACTATGTTAATATTATAAAATACGCTTTTCTATAAATATAGTTAAGAGATTCGACAGATAGTAGATAACCTATTACTTATTTTTAATATAAACATGCTAATTAATATCAATTTAGTATGCTGTTAAACAAGTTATTGTGAATTTTTTGCTAATCTGTAATAAAGAGTTGGTAGTTTTGTTAAATGAAAAAAGTTTGGTTGATCGAAGGAAGATCAATGTTAATTCAAAGTTCAAGTTGATAAAGCTAAAACTGTTTAGGTTTCTTGAAGCTTGCGACGCATAAAGCATATGAATGGTAGTTATAAATGATATAATTTTACCAATAGCCAACAAAATTTCACTCCAATGAAGGTGCAAAGTCCAAAATACAAATGCTGTTTGTGAGTCAATGGCTGTATCGTTCTATTAACCGATTTCAATTATTAATACTTAACAGATATGGTTACGTATTCTTCGCATCGGACGTCGCACCAAGAGATAAGAAAACAGCAGATGATAGTGGACTTTGCACCCCGGTAAAGCTTATCATTTTAAGACTGTGAAGATGGACGAACCTGTTCAGGGGCGATGATTCCTGGACAGTTGGGCCCCACCAATCGCGACTTGCTCTGGCTGATGAGGGCGTGCTTCACCTTCACCATGTCGTGCTGCGGCACACCCTCCGTGATGCACACGATCAATGGGATCTCTGCCTCCAGGGCTTCGATAATTGCGGCCGCAGCTCCCGGTGGTGGCACATAGATGACGGTGGCATGTGGATCGGTGGCCTTCTTGGCCTCCGCAACCGAGGCGAAAACGGGCAGACCCAAATGTTGGGTGCCACCCTTCTTGGGAGAAATGCCGCCGACCAACTTGGTACCGTACTCCAAAGCCTGTTGGCTGTGGAAAGTTCCCTGTTTGCCGGTGAATCCCTGGCAGATCACCCGCGAATCGCCGTTCAGCTTCAGGTTGCCACGGGTCTTGTTGTACTGCGAATTGCAACGCACACCGGCAACGAATCCATCTGAAAAACATATTAATTAATGCTTTGGTCTTAAAGAAGTACAACTAAAAATTAGTTTTAAACTAGAGATAGAGTACATATAGATACATTTTTAAGATTTTTAAAATATACATATTGGAATGTTTAATAGTCGAAGGATTATGACTGCCTAATTGATTCTTCTCAGTAATTTAGAAAATATCTTGTAACCTATAAAAGCCACGTATTTTTATAATTATATTCATTTATAGATTTTAAAAACGTGCTTCAACCTATTTTCGTGTTTGTACATAATTGAAACCTTTTGTTTAAATAAATTTCAAATATATTCTGCTTAACTAAACTGCACTGTAGCACACCGTAAACTCTATTAGACTTTTCGACGTTAAACCTAACTCACAAGAATGAGGTTCTTAGGCGTTCTCTTTCTTCTTGGTAAGTCTAAAAGCATTGCATTTAAGATGTAGAAATACTTTTCTATATTTTATCATCTGCAGTTATAACAATAGTAGATGTCAAAAGTCAAGCCAGTAAATGCGATCCCAGAATTCCACCGGCAATTAGACCGTACTGTGCTGTTGACGTCAACTGCAGTTATAATGCCAAAAATGTTTGGGCAGCAAGGTACGAGATGTGCTTGAGAAATGAACAAGGAAAGCCAAGTAGGTTTACCCACAAATACATTTCAAATTCTTTAGTAATTTTCCGCTATTTCAGAATTTTTGCAACTAAACGCGGGAAAATGCCCTTCTGGCCAGCCTGCATGCCTTAGCTCTTCTCCGAATTAATGCATTACCTAAGCCGTTAATTCTAGCTTAAGGGTACTAAAAATCAATGTTTTTATATTTTTAAAGTACGTGCTGGAGCACAGATAGAATGTTATGAGTTTACCCATTAAAAATAAAGTTATATTGAAAATCCCAGTTAATCATCTTCAAACTTTTAACAACTCAACATGAAGAATTTGGTAATCCTTTTCGTTTTGGGTGAGTTAAATTGATCTCTTTAAATGCATACACTAAACATTCTTTAATTCAGTTATCTTCGCATTAGAAATCAAGGGTGAATGCTCTGTTCAAATTCCCTATTTCCCTGACGCCCAATGTGGATATGCCAGCGAATGTGTCTATCATGGGATAAATAAAGCTGATATCACTAATGAGGCTTGTCGTCGTCGAGAACAGGGAAAACCACGTAAGTGCAACCCGTTTTAAAATGTCAACTATACTCTGATGTTATCCATTTTAATTTCTAGCATTTTTTGCTGTAAAAGAGGGAAATTGTCCCACAAACAGTCCTAAATGTATATAATAAGTATTTTAAAATATTTTACAAAATAAATTCCGATTTTCACAAATTTATTATTTGCTGAACTTTTAAAGTCGTTCTGGTAAATAAAATTTGATTTATTACCCACTTAGTTGTGCTTAAACAAAAATCATTTTTATATTCTAAAAGAACGTGTTGGATCATAAGATGCCTGATTTTACTTTTCCCATTATATAGAAACCTATCTCATAACCACAAAGTCAGTTATCCCAAAACCTTTACCAAGTCATCATGAAGACTTTCGGTATTGTTTTCATTTTCGGTGAGTTTTTAAAAAATATTTCAAACGAATACTTATCATGCCTCCATTTAGTTATCCTAATACTAGAAATAAGGGGTAAATGCAATTTGACTATTCCACAATATCTCCATCCTTATTGCGGAATTACTAGAGGATGTGTCTTTGATGGCGGAAATGAGGTTGACATCGCGAATGAATCCTGCAGGCGTAAACAGCAGGGAAAGCCACGTGGGTACAGGAACTCTTAAAATATTAAACATTCTAAATATTTTTTTAATTAACAGTATTCTTGGAAATAAGAAATGGATATTGTGAATCGAACAAACCTCAGTGTGAAAGGACCCCTTTAAGGTTCTAAGATAATTTCAGACCATTAATATGGCTCTTTAACATTTTAAAATAAATCAAAATTTTCCGCTAATCTACGGAATAATTTCCTTTCTCTTTTCTAGCATATCTTAAATATTTAATCTCATATTTAAATAGCAGTATGAGTGTCTTTGTTCTTATTTTTATTATAAGTGAGTTTCTGAGTTTTTAATTTGTTTTTTTTTTAGTAAGTAATTTTTCATCTTCCGCCAACTGCAGTTGCGAAAATATTTGGAATCGCAAGTGGGATAAGTAAGTGCGATGGATATATAAAACCTACTGGAAAACCCATTTGTGCTTTTGATAAAAATTGTTTCTATCAAGGCATTAATATTTGGGATGTGGGACAAGAGCAGTGCAAACGAACTGAACAAGGAAAGCCTCGTAGGTTTAATCTATTTAACATAACTATTTAACTAAAGTTTATCTATATTTTTAGTCTTTTTAAAACTTGGGCGTGGAAAATGTCCCACTAACAAGCCTGCGTGCAACAAAACTCAATCAAAGTAAAGCACGAATTTAAAAATTATAAAAATTATTAAAATATATAAGTAAATAAATATATATACAAATATCTAACACAATGAAAATATAATAAAAGCTGTTATAACTCAACCTCTTCTTCAAATAAATCTAAAGATTTTGTCTGCTTAATTGATTCTTCTCGGGAATTAAAAAATTAAGCCCTAACCTATAAAAGCCACGTATTTGGTTTGAAAATGTCAAACTCTTAGGAAGATGAAGCTCATAACAATTTTCATTCTAGGTGAGTTTAAGAATATTTCCTTCGATAATATTTTGGTTCCTGTTTTACAATCTTTTTCCATCTTCAGCCACTACAGCTTTGCAAATCGACGGTGCTTGCAATAGAATGGTTAAACTTTCATTAAGTCCTGCTTGTGGGGTCCTTCCAGATTGTTATTTCGAAGGCCTAAATAGCGACTACATAAGTATTGAGGAGTGCAAGCGAAAAGAAAAAGGACTTAGCGGTGGGTTTTACTTTTTATATAGAATTCAAGTGACATTAATTGGATGTTTTTATCAGGATTTCTTTCCACAATGGAAGGAAAATGTCCTAAGGATAAACCTGCTTGCCCACAGCCTGTTCCGTTTCCATGGAGTATATGGGCATGAGGATTTAAGATGTACATTATAATTTCTTTCAAGATATTAATAAATTAAATAGAGAAAGAAATATATTTGAAATATATTCTTCTGATCCTAATGGGCGATGTAATTAACTATTAACTTATGTAAATATTAACTCTATTATTAGACCGTAAAACGAACTCATAAGCCTGAGTATGATAAATCCGATCCAAAGATTTGTCTGCATAATTGAATTTTCTCAGATATTAAAAAAATTTTCTACTGATAATAATGAACTAAGTAGGGAACGATTTTTCTACGTAATTTCATTTATAAAGACTAAAGAAATAATTTCAAATAAACTATTTACACTTTTCCACTTTAGATCTTAAACCGAACTCATTATTAAAAATGATCAAACTATTATATAGTTATAGATCTCTTCTATAATGAAATATTTTTATCATTGAAATATTTCAGTGATCGCCAAAGCGATATTCCACTGTACTTGTTGCCGAAAAAACGGTTGTTTGTACGATGGGTCACATGCAAACGAACCTTGAACGCAGCCCCCTCACCCCGCTGCCACTTTCCTGAAGCCACGTATCTGCGGATTTGCAAATTGAGCCGGTCCACAATCCCAATTGTAGCTGACTAATCAGCAGATCTTTTGGAATGACAAGTGCCCTCTATTTGTTTGCCGTTTCGTTTTTTTGTACCATAAATCCATCGCGGGTTATATAATTTATTATGCTATATGCCGCGAGTTAGGCAACCGATATCGGATATACTCACCTCGCACTTTCAGCAGCGCCCTCATTGAAGCAGCCATGTTATCTTTGTGTAGTGGTTGTGCGATAAAAACAGCTTTACTTAATTAAAACGCGTTTAATTAATGCGAAATCGGCCGAATAGTGCTGGGTTAACCACCCACGATGATATCGATGTAGCGAAAATCGGTTGGGGAAATCTTTCGATGATTGGTTGGCGATAGTAATCGATAGAGCTGGAGTTAGCAGAGTGGTTGCCATGAAAGAACTCTGGAATTGCTCTGTAAACTTAACATAAGATATTTGGTAAGGATAATCAAATATTGAAATATTTAAATATTAATTAAGTTTTTAACGCCTATGCTAGAAATAGTATGAATTCAGTTAATTTAATTTCATTATAAGCCAAGTTAAAATTTATCTGAAACTTACATAAAGGCTTACCATTACCTGTTGCTCAGTTTGTTATTTAAAAACATGAACAGCTACTGTACACCAACAAAGATAAATTCAAAATCATTTTTGATTCACTTAACTGAACCTTTATTTCTAGAAATTAAAGAAAGGACAGATCAAGTGTGTATCGACTACGTAAAATATATTGCCTCTAGTTAGATCGTTACCGTCTAATTAATCAGATGGCTTACACATTATCAACTAGCACGAAGTACACAAAATGCGCCTAAGAATATATATCTTCTCCGACCTACTTCTGTTCTCCTCGGGCGACAACGTTTTAAAAACTTTTTCTAAGGCCAAAAATGGATACAAAATATACGTCTGTACTTTCAAGTTAATATTAAGTGTGTCATTGCTTCTTGCTTTTGAACGGAGGGCTTAGGAGGTGGGCTTGGGTTTATTTAGCTCTATCATCTAATTAAAAAGATTCTCGTTGGCCAAGGGAAGATCCTCTAGCGGCGGATGATCGTGGACTTCCGGCTCCACCTGATTTTCTTCACGATTAAATGCATTCTCTTCTCCCTTCTTCAATCGCTGGTAAACCAAAATGGAACGGCCAGTGCGCGATTGGCGATGCTGTAAGAGAGAGGCAAGATTAGGTGACTGGGCGCCCAGTGCCTGCGACCACTCGTCCACCAGAGCCTGCGAGCCCTCCAGATGGATTACCTCTGCGTGCTCGATACGATGGAGCAGCCGATAGTTGCGAAGGAAAACGCTTATATTCTCGGCCAGCGGATCGAAAAGAACCACATGCGTGGGCAAAGCAGTGAGCGGGTGCACAGGAATATGAGAGTTGATCCAGTGCACAGGGTCTTCAAAGAAGTGATCGGCCTCGTCCTTGTACTGCTCCTTCTTTTCCAGGTTGGGTTCGCAAGTCAAAAACCTCATGGTGACATTTTGGTGAATGTGACTATCAAGGATAAATCATTTGTTGACATTTTATAGCTTTATAATTCAAAAGACCACTTACCTGTAGTACGGTGTGGAGTGGCAGGGCATCAGGAAGAGAATATTGGCTTGATGCTCGCGTTCATCCCTGTACTCCTGGGCAATCTCCCTTAACTTGGGCATCAGCTCGATTGGTCCCTTCTGGTGGACTGTGCTCAAGTACCAGGCGGGCAAAACATTGCCAATCAGGATCACCAAGGCAGTTGTCCACAGCATTGTTCGAGAGGCTCGATAACTCCATCGTGACAATGCATCAGTAATGACATACAAACAGAGCGGCAGCAGAGAGGACACAAATCGGAATTCCTTGTGCTCAACGGTACTCAGAACCACCAGAGTCAGAAATATGGTAATCAAAAGCTGCTTGCTAACAGGATACTTCTCCGATTTCCTCACAGTTTCCATAATACCAAAGATGAAGGGCAACGTATTGATTCCAAGTACTGTGGGCAATCCCACGGTGAAGTACCAGTACCAAGGATGCGAGCCATAGAAGCTGCCGATATTGTTGAAAATATTGTACTTAAGGAACTCGTACGGGGTGACTATCAGCTGGCCATGCCAGTAGGTGTCGATGGCTATTCCAAGACCAGCAACGAGTAAACTGAAAGGCAAAGATGAATAATTTAAAAATACTGATTATGTGAACTTTTATAATAGATTTAAACCAACCCAATCAGCACAAATCGCTTAAGGATCAGCTCCAGCACGTTCTGCCGACTCTTGCGCAGATGATATAGGGATAATGGAAGCCAAATCACAGCAGCTGTGGGTCTCAAGAAGCAGCAGATGGCAGCTGGCCACAGATAACCAGTGGATTCACCATACCAAGGGAAGTAACTTAAGGCAATCGTCGTCAGAGAGGCCTCCAAGGTATTGGCTAGAGTTCGGGAACCCGTGTAGAACCAGAACCAGGGAACTAGTATCAAAAAAAGTGCCCACTTTCGCTTGCCAGTCCACACAAAGAAGCGATAATCCGAGTAGGCTGATAGGAAGGCCTGGATAATCCTCGGCACCACCACCAGAAGTTGAGCACTATCCAATTGCAGGAGGGCCAGGATTTTGTACAGTCCGGCAATCAGCAGGGGATACACATAGCTGCGAATGCCCTGAACCCACTCCCAAGTCAGGTAGCCATAGCTAAAAATAAAGAGCATGTGAGTTAGGTCAAGGTCAAGGTATATGGTTAGATCTTCGGATATGATTTGTCAGTTCATATATTTTTTTAGCTCGAAAGGATTATTTCAAAAATGTAATAAGAAATATCACTTCCTATTTGACATCATTTTGCCTTTTCAGCGACAATTGGGTTAAGATATATATTCAACATTTCTTATCCAATAGAGATCAATCGGAATCGATATTTATGAGTGAAAAAGTAAACCTACAGTATTTAAAATATAACAATAGTTTGCCCGTAGTATGTACTAGGTACTTCCAATCGAAATTATGCCAACTCTTTTTAGATAAGAGCTAGGAACTGGACCAAAGTCCCAGAAGTTGAACTTACCCAAAGGTCAGTTTGTGGGCCACCTCCAAACTCTGCCAATATTCATCCGGAACGTAATAAGTTTGGACCACGAAAACGGAAGCCAAACGCACGGCCAAAATCAAAATAAACACGTAGAGCAGCCTCATTATAATATCGCTGCGTGGGTCACAAAACTCCCAAAATTAGTCACCCGGAAAACCGGATGCCGTTGCTGTCACCTGGAAAATAAAGCCGTATTAATACAAGTTTTCGGGCGTTTTTCGGCCGGACCTAACCTTAAATAGTTGCGTGTGTTGGTGATTTACCAACCGGTCGGATTTTATGGGAAGTTCAGAATTTTTTTAGCCACGAAAATGAAACTTTTCGGCGAAAAAGGCGGCTAAAAATAACGCGAAGAGCAGACCAAAGCAAAACCGAAAGTGACAGTGTGACCGTAGCCGATGCTTTCTATAAATCTCAAAGCTATTGATTTATATCGACAGTGCTATAAAATGCCGGAGTTTTAAAAACCCTATTGTTTATTTTTCAAACTTAAAAACGACCAATAATAAGCCAGGATTTGAAAGTCAGTATGGTAGGGAATACGTTTTAAACCTCTATCGCACACCAATAACTGCACCAGGGAAGCAAGGAAAATCCATCGATGATCGGATCAGATCGGATGGTCAGTACTCAGGATGTTTTGTTGTACTCGCCTTTCGATTTCGCTAAGGATGAGCTTACCTATCGTAAGCTATTCGTCGGCGAATTCTCAAATTCCACCGAATACGAAATTTTGGTCAAAGGTGTTTGGAAAATACTTGATAGTGACAAATACCGTGTGCTCGGGAATTCTCCTGGCAATCGGAGATGCTGTGGCTCAGCAATACGAAAGATGGCGTGAAAAGAAACCCTTTGATTATTGTCGCTCGGGATCAATGATGATCACGGGCTTGGTAATAGGCCCAGTTCAGCACAGTTTCTATCTGCTTTTGGATAGAGTTTTTCCAGGCACCAATCCATTAGGTGTCCTCCATAAGATCCTTGCCGATCAGCTAATCATGTCGCCTGTCTATATCTTCGTGTTTTATTACCTCGGCAGTTTACTGGAGGGAAGATCTATCATTGAGTGCAATTCCGAGCTGTCAAACAAGTTCTTATACACCTGGATTATGGACTGTTGTGTTTGGCCCGGCCTGCAGTATCTAAATTTTCGCTATTTTAAGTCCCTCTATCGCGTGGTCATCGTCAATCTGACCAATTGCCTGTACATCGTCCTGCTCTCCCACATAAAGCACGGTGAATCTAAAATCTAAGAAATGTTTATATTTTGATGACATTATACCTATAATAATTTAGTGTTTTTAATGGATCCAATAAAAATGTTTTACGATATACAAGACTTACAATGGAAATTTTAATAATTGTTGTAAATTTTAACGTATTGTAACAGTGTAAATGAATTCAAGATATTTATATTTTGTAATTTAATATTTTAATATTTTTAACGGTCGTACAGTTATCGATTTTTTCCTTGCTGGTGTACACACATATAAAAAGGGTTAGTCGAAAGTGTGCCATCCCCAATCAGCTGCCAGTTTAACGTCAAAACAATCGGGTCTTTCGTAACGTTAAATCAAAACAGACGGGCTTACAGTAGTCAAACATTTCAAGTGCAGTGGCTGTCAGGATGTTCAGCATTCGGTGCCTGCGCCAGTGCTATGGTCTCCGGCACCCTGCAGTACCTTGGACCCAGAAGGTCCATGGATCTTTTAATTCCCGGAGAGATTTCACGCCCTTGTGCCGGATCAAAACCCACGTGATAGTACCACAAAAACACGGACTCCGTTTAACCCATGGCAAAGGAGAAACTGATGGTGGAGCCCTGAGCTTCATACTCCTCCGATGGACAAAAATGGCCTGGAGTAATATGTTCGGAAAGTATCTGATCATCACGAACGTGGTGGGTTCCGGGCTTCTGATGGTCGTGGGTGATGTGATAGCCCAAGAGTATGAATACAGGCGGGGACTGCGGCACCACGATCGTTTCGATACGGATCGCATGTACAGGATGTTTGTAGCGGGTGCTCTGCAAGGGCCTCTCCATCACTTTGTATACAACTGGATGGATAGGATAATGCCAGCCCGCACCTTCCAGAATATAATCAAGAAGATCCTGATAGACCAGCTATTTATGTCGCCCGCCTGTATTATCATATTCTTCTATTCCATCTGTTATCTGGAGCGCCAAACGCTGGAAGCTACAAATCAAGAGCTTATCAGCAAGTTCCCGTATGTCTATATGCTAGACTGGATGACCTGGCCGGCGGCGCAGTACCTGAACTTTCGCTATCTTGACACCAAATACCGGGTGACTTTTGTCAATGTATGCACGGCGGTTTATAATGTGCTCATGTCTTACATGAAGCATGATTTTGGGATTCATTTGCCACTGGAGGGCGAGTTGCTGGAATCTTCAGAGAAGACCTTCCTACAACAAAGTTCTCCACAAAAGCCCATGGAAGCCCAGAAGTCCGTTTAAGACACTACAAGCATCGCAGGATATATGTGATATTGATAAAAATCTAAATTACCAAGTCATTGTGTACACGGGTGTTTTTATGTAAAAGAAGAGGCTCTTAGTATCAATTTTTATGCGTGAATGCTGTCTATGTTGTAATTCCTAGAGTAGGTAACCGCCTACTCTTTCTAACTTCTTAAGCTTAGGGCACGCGTTCTCGTTTTGATGTAATATACGCTGCGAAAAAACAAATATGTTGTCTATATTATAAATGTCTAGACAAATTTCTAAGTAATGTTTTTAATGGATTTTCTAACGATCAATTGCCGCTTTGAACAAAACGAAAAACATATCAAATTGTAACCTCAACCTAGGTTATCAATTGCCAAAACAAACAGTTGCTTAATTGATAAGAAAGTACTAGTCTTTGTATGCATAAAAGTTAATATTTTAAGACAACGCGTGAAGTTATGTATTGATTAAGTAAAGGAAACAATGCGTATGAATTAAACGTTAAAAGGACAAACTAAAACTATTTTTTTTGTTTCTAAATGTATGTTTGAACCCCTCCAAGAAAGACCCACCTTAAGTTTACATTCCTCACTTAATCACAATCGTCTCCACAGGCTGGCTGATTCCGAATATGTGTTGCGCCAGCATAAGATGTTCCTGAGTTATGAAATTCGCCAGCAAAGTGATCATATTCTCATTGCAGCGGGCAATTTGTTGGCGAGTAATTGCCTTAAACTCATCCCTGGCTCCTTTGTCTGCTCCGCGTGTACCAATTCTTCGGCTTTGTGAACCACCAGTTGCGCTTGTAGAAGTCGGTGTGCCACTGGAAATTGGTGAACTGGTCAACTCAAAGTTGTCTTCCTGCTGGGAGTTCCAAATGTGCGAGAGTTCCTCAATCAAATCAATGGCAATTATATACGTGGATAGGGTGCGTAGATTGAACGACTTGCGTTGCTTAATCATGCTGAAAATTTGTTGGGTGAGCAGGACATCGTTCAGGAGATTCAGTTGTTGAAGCACTAGGAGATCGCCGAGTAATCTATCTGGGCAGTTGGGTTCGTAAACTTTTCGGCTCATTCTGCTTATAATGGCTCCTACGCAATACTGTACTAACGCGGATCGAGTGAGGGGCAGGAAAACCATATGTCGGTGTCCTTTGAGAGACATGTTCTCTAGAAGTTGGCCCTGGGTTGCTGGCAGTTCGGATAGGATCTTTAAAATACACTGGAAGCCCTGGAGCTGTGATAAAATTGGATTATTAGAATAGTTAGTTTAGGAAAATTAAGTTATCAACTCACTGTCATGCTCCCCTGCATCAAATTAAGACTCAAGATCTGAAGACTCTGCACGAGGCTGCTCTGGGTGGTCATTTCAGACATTAACTTATTGGCCTCATCGCGGTGTCCGAAATATATGGCCAAGTCGAAAAGGAACCTGGAGATCCAAGGCGCCAAAGGAAGGGCCAGCATAAGTTGACTGAAGTCCCGCTGAAACTGATCCGTATTCAGCAGCTGCCAGCATTGGGCGGCGTGCAAGAAAGCCTTGGATAGTTCCGGACTTATAGGGGTGGTCAGGGAAAATTTTGGTGGCTCCATGCTGGGTACTTCAGAGCCATCACTTTCCGGCGACCATTCCATGAATCCTTCTACCAACACATGACTGACCTCTGCATCTTCTATCCTTAACTTGCAATTCCGTATGTAGCCATGCAGGGAGTAAATAAACAACGTGGTGGCGTAGAATAAAACCTGGGAGCTGCCCGCTGGACTTCCAGAAAGTATATCCACCAACTTTTCCCAGTAAACATTCTGGTTTACTTGTTTACTGAAGGGTAAGAAGGGTTCCCAGCCCATCATCTGCCCGCATATCATCAAAACTTTGAATATATTCTTCCAGGCATCCGCCGAATCCGATTCATCCATGATTTGACGCAGGTAATATTCCAGGGAACTGGTGTATAGCCTACAGGCAAGATTGGGCGAGAGTTCGGGGGGCTTAGTTTGGATCATGGGCAGGACCTCTTCCACCAGAATCCTTTGATAAAGATCTGGATCGGTTTTCATGCCCTCCGCCAGCATTTCCAGTAGTCTGGGCGCTTGTGTGATGGCCGATTTGGGGAACTTATTAAACATCAGTATATAGATATAGACGCGCTCCAGATTATCGGCACTATGGTTGATGGTGTGCATGAATATATTGTGCTGAACGTCGGGTGTAAGGTGTTTGTACATTTTCACATAGAACTCGTGTTCCGGTGTGCTTTCATTCTCATTTCTGAGGGCATTCGTTAGAGAATTGATCTCCTGCCATAATTCTGTGTGTTGATTTGGAAAATTGGTGGCTCTAGAAGAGTGGAACATATTTAGTCTTTGGATATTTATTATCTCTATACTCACATAACGCTGAAACACTTCGCAGCTTCCTCGTAGTTTTTACCATCTCGTTCCAATAGGTAGGCCTCGTATTGCAAGTTGAAGGCATTGGGGTATAGGGTTTTAGCCGTGATTATCCACGCCATAGCCGCACAAGGGTCGGTTTTTCGAAGATTTTGCGCTTCTTTGACCATGTACAACTCATTTTCCTCGTTAGTTGACATATTTCGTTATGGATCTCTATTATCTATATTTTTTCTGAAATTTAATGAAAACAAAACATTTAGCCGGTGTTGAGCTATTTACCAACACTTTTCTGGCTCTTTTTTATGCGCTGGCATATATCAAAAATTTATTAGAGCCAGAAATAGCTATTGTTTTCTAAAACTTTTTATATTAGGACTTCTAAGGTTGTTTATTTATTCAGTGCTTCCTAAATACATTTTTAAGATTTTTGATGCTGTTACCTTGTTAGTTTGATTAATATCCAGATTCAAACGTTATTTCATTAAACATTTAGCTTAAAATTAAGAAACAATCATCGATAGTCTTGCTATCGAATAGTGCGGTTCATCAGTGTCAGTAGTGTTATACAGCGGCAACTTGCCAGCTGATTTTTCGCGAAACTAATTTTACTATATAAATTTGACTAATTTCTGTGATTTCTGCGGTAACAAAATAAAAAACTGCAATAAAGAAACGTTATTCGGAATCGGCTGCGGGACCCGATTATGTAATATGTGTGACTAAGCGGGCATTCTTGAAGATATCTGCCAACGCGTCGTGTTTTGTTTTTGTTGTGTGAATAATGCACCGAATGGTTATTTAGAAATTCGCGAAATCTTGTAAATAAGATATATACGTAATTGAGTGCCATCTGCTGTAGTTTTACAGAAAAGAAAGACAAACTTGTGATTTCCCCAATGGGTTGCCGGGTCCAAGGATGCTTATAAAATCCGGTGCATAAACGCAGCATGCCCCATTTTCGGATTGTCATTCGTAAAAAAGACAATGACAGTCCAAAAAATATTTTAATACAAAACGCTTCGCACAAAATTCATAAGTAAATAATAGAAATGTCAGAGGCAAAATCGGAAATTCAGGCGGTTACAGCCGGTCCCTCGACAACAGGCGACCAACCAGAGCAAAATGAGCAACAAGTGGTTGCCACAAAGGACACTAAAGCTCCGGATCAGGGTAAGTAGAACAAAAATGAAGTAATTTTTATATTTATGACCACCTTCAGTAGACTGATAAATGACTCGATGTTCCCATTTTTTCCTTTGTTTAACCGTAATCTAAACTATTTATTAATGACTTGGCACTTATCACAAGTTGCACGATGCCCAATAAATCATAAAATACCAACAGAAAAGTAAATATTAACTAAACTTAATAAGCCATATGCAAATAACACAATATTTGGTTTATAAGTATCACAGAAAACCTTATCTTATGTATCTTATCATATAATTTATAGTAAATTAATTCTTTTAAATACATTTTTTAGTATAATGACGAAGTTTTATTAAATTGTTGGGTGTATTTCTGCACACTACGGGTTTTTAGAACTACAATGTATACTAGAAACCTCTTTTAAATATCACCAAACAATAGATAACCATAAATCATACCAAAATGATAAGCGATATGCTAATCTGTACACCTCAAATTTTGCTTAAGAATTTTTAAGACCTGTTTCTATTGTTTAACTTTAGTTTGCATTGTGTATTTATCCACGATTTTTATATATTAACTCACTATTTATTTAATTTAGTTTGAAATTTCATAAAATGACTTTTTTACACAGTCGGTGACACTTTGCGATGAATCATTCGGGTATTTAAACCTTCTTTTCCCTTTGAAGAATTGATCATAAATTTTGAGGAACCTGTTTGGTTTTATTGAACTGTAAATTATGTATCTTATCTTGAATGGGTTTCATTTTTTCGTTTGCTAACCGCCACATATTGAACTTCACCTAAATGTACTTACTTAATATTATGATATTTGCTTTTAGGTATAAACCATTTCATAATTAAGAACTTTGCGTGTTTAATTTATATTTCATAATAACCAACAATATTCATTCACTCATTCGTTTTAAGATTTTTGTATTCCACCTACTTAAGTACACTTCTTAATTAGTTTGTTTTTTAGTTTTCAATTAGTTTCAATATTGTTTGTAAGACAGAACATGTTGCTACAATGTTCTTGAGTAAATATAAAACTAAGTTCGTAAACAGCACCTAATCGTAATTAAAATTAAAGTGCAACTGATGTCACTTTTGATTTAAATTATTTACATTTCGCTCCTTTTCGTGATTCGTATTTAGTTGAAAGTGTTTATTTATCTTAGTTTCTAATGTTAAATCAGCACAAAAGTAAGCGCGAGTTTTGATTTTTGTGTTTCATATACTTTGTAGTGTAAAAATGTATTGTATATAACCAGCAGTTTGAGTTGTTGCTTCCCAAGTCCGCACATCGAAGGTTAGTTGCTGCAATTAAATCTTTGAATTTTCTCTTTAACCGAAAGCACATAAAATTTGACTAATGATTTCTTGAACATTTTCTTTAAATTAAAATATAAAACTAAAACCTCATTACAGTGACGAAGAAAAAGCAGCGGCAGCGTTTGGTATCGGAGAAGAGCATCCAGGAGCCAAATCCCTTGATCTTAGAGCATGCCAATCTAGATTCGGTGCCCCAGCATATGGAGAAGCTTATGAGGCAGTACCAGGACGATCCGAAACTGCCCGCTGCTGAATGGCTTAACTTGCTGATCTATTTAATTGCCCTGGAGTGTGGATTCGTGGAGGAGGAGACTTACGCCCAGAAAAGACATCTCTTACAGCCAGTTCCATCTTTTAGCAGTTTTCATGCCCTGAATGTAAGACTCCTCAGCGAACAGCCGGCCAAGTATGAAGTTTGCTTCAATAATACGGCGTACTCCATGCGATTGAGGACCCTGTTGGACAAACATACTTCCGAAGAGGCTTCTGTGGTTGCTGCTCTCCAGTCCCGCCTAATGGCCATCACGCTGGGAGATCAGCTAATGGTCACCCTATCCCCAGCACCGCTCTTCAAGCAGCCAGGATACAGCATCAGCCTGCCCATCGGTCGTTATGTCTTGAATATCCACCCAAAAAACAAGCCCATCTATCATCGCTTTCGGAAGCTGGATGAACTCTCCTATCAACTCAAGCAGCATGTCTTCCAGCCCATGAGATCGCAGCAACTCATGCAGATGGAACAGAAGCTACAGCCATCACTACTGGGTCTTCCCTATGAACTGTACCACGAGATCTTCAGATATCTTGACAAGAAACAACTTAATGTGGTGGCCAAAGTCAATCGCCAGCTGCAGTTATATAGTAAAGAAATTGAAAGGAAAAGGCTGCAGGGCGGCAGGAATTAATCTCATAATCTGGTCAAAGCCCATTTAATTTCCATGAAATTTATTAGGTTATGGTTTTGGCTCTCACAAGGATATTCTCATGATGTCATTTATATAACTTGCATAGGAGAATTTTCTAATATAAGAAGTAAAGATTAAAGTAAAGTCTTTCCTTTGTATTGGTTTTTCTTAGTCCTAAGTTATATAAACATTTATAATGTTATTGAGAATTGGATTCTCTTATTAAAACAGGAAGTGAAAAATATTTTCAAAGAGGAAAAGAAAAAGTAAAAGTAGTAACTTATCTATATTATGTTGAAAGAACGAAATAAATTATCTGTTAATGAATAATATTTGAAGTTTTAACTTTGTTTTATTTCGTGGTTTTAAAGGATTTTCTAAAGGCTATAAATGAAAAGGTAATAAAAAGGTCTTTTTTTTAGGGATTTTCTAGACATTACATTTTAAACTTAATACATTAATTTATTTTCTGGCATAATTTAAGAATTATAAACGCCCTCATCTTCTTAATTACTTACTCTTACTTCTTACTCTTATATTATTTAATTACCAAATTTAATTTATCCTCACCGCATGAATTTTTGGTTTTCTTTTTATACTAAAAAATGTCCAGGAACTAGGATTATAGTAGCACCTCCAACGCCCTCTGCGGAATCCTGCAACTCCTATGATATTTTTGAACCTCCCTCCACGCCCCTGGACACCATCAGCATCAAGAGCAGTGCCAGCAGCTACTTCTACGATCGTGATATTACAGGTGAGTCCTCGTGTATGTGTCCTTGCCACCTTTTTTGCATCCATTCCGACGAAAAGAGGGGTACACGCCCCTAAACGAGTCGGCCCTCAACCACAGAAGTGCAGAATGCGAAACAAGCGGCTCCAGCAGCCAAAAACACGCGCCGAGATTGTCGCATCCACAATCCCCATTGCCCCCAAAAAGAGCCCAAGCACAAGCCCAAACCCAAACCCAATCCCCGATGCTTCAACTCGTCGGCTCCGAATCTCCAACCTCCCGTGCCCACTTCGATTTTTTATGCGCACGCAAAATCAACAAAACCCACGCGAGCAAAACGGCACCCCTATAACCCCTATATGTGCCACATCTTCATGCACTGAGAGAAATGTTTAGATCATTTATGGAGTTAGTAAGGGAGGATATTAAAAGATGAAGTGAAGTACGAGGTGTGTTCAAAAAGTAAGGTGACTCTTCAAATTTCGCGAATTTCAAATTTTTCGATTATCGAAACCTTTTAGAAGTTTTCGAGTTGTGTTCAAAAAGTAAGGTGACTTTTCAAATTTCAAATTTTTCAAATTTTTCGATTATCTTCAGTTTTGGGAACAAGAAAAAGTCACATGGGGCCAAATCCGGTGAATATGGTGGCTGAGGCATTATTGTGGTGTTGTTTTTGGCCAAAAAATCCAAATCCTTTGATCCATATTTTTCGATAGCAAAAAATCGCCGAGCTCGCAAAACAACTTGTAACTTTACGCCTCTCACAACCAAACAAAAGAGGATGTTCCATTGAAACTTGGTACAGATGTTAGGGAAGAGTGTACCAATATAACAAAACAAAAAAATCGATAATCGAAAAATTTGAAATTCGCGAAATTTGAAGAGTCACCTTACTTTTTGAACACACCTCGTATATACAAAAATCGCATAATATAATATGATTAGTATACTTCGTTTCCAAATAAACCATTTTGTAACTCTAACCATTTCCGCTCAGTGTATACCCCTTGGCCTCTTCGCCTTTTTGGTTTTCCTGGCGGATGGCATCCACAATTTTGTTTTTCTCCCTCAACTGCGGGATGCCTGCTGCCCGATGCTGGGCTCCTATTTCGTGTTTATATTACGATATCGACTTTCCCAAGCCGAGCCTTATCACTAAAATAAAACGAAAACGAAAACAAAAATAGAGAGGCTGCCCTGCATCTCATCATCCTGGCTGGTGTTCCCTTGGAAACCTCATGTTTTTGGTGTTCCCGTGGGTCCTGTCGAAATTATCTGGCTACAACTTTATCAAAAATAACGAAAAACAGTGACAAAAGCATAAATAAATTATGAGAAAGCCAAACAAAGCAAAACCTATTCCGCTGGCCTGGCGCTCTCGCAGAAATAATTTTAAACTCCGAGTCGAGTGCCTCCTGAAAAGCTCCGGAAAATTGAGAGAAGCTTTCTTTCGAGCTGCTCTTGAATAGTTGCTCTGCATTTCCCAGGAGCAGCTGTTTTCCCAGCTGCCCGCCCCCTCTCTTTTCAACGCCTACAATCTGGTCGAATGGTTGGGTGAATGAACCCACAGATGCGGCTGTCACACAGTGGTCAAGCTTTCTTTTAAAAGTAATGAAAACTCTTTTATGTTTCATAGGATTTCATAACGTATTGATTGCATCGACTGCATTATCACTTTAGCACTTAGAAGCTGATTAAATATAAACAGAAAAACCCGTTGAGTTTGGATTTTTATAGGCCTCTTTCTGCGTTGAACAATCAAATTGCTTTTGATAACTTCTTGCCATTGCTATGTCTATTGCTTAAACAGGGGCTATCTTATCGGTAATGAAAGTGGCTCAATTTCCAGAATGGTGACCTGGAATTTCCTTGTGTGTGGAAATTTCATAACAACGAGTCATCATTTATTTGTTATTAAAAATTAAGACATGTTTAGGTTATTTGTTTTTACTTAGTTCTCATTTATAAATAAACACTTTGGTCATTAATACCAAACTATCCTTTTCCTGAACCTTGAACTAGCTGAAGTACATGACACTCTGGTCACACTGTGCTCTCATCTGGGATGCTAAACTGTGCCAAACTTTTCATTCTGCTTCTCGTTTTAGTGGCTGTTGTTGCTTTGCCCTTCCATTCTCGTTCTCCTCCCTTGTGGGCGGACTAGTAACGGTAAACAGCAAAGAGGAATCAAAAGAGTTGGCAAAACATACGCTGCTCCTCTTTCTCTTTCTGCCCCCTCCTTTTTTCGGGATGCAAGCGAAAGCAAAGGCCACTTTTCTAAACACTAGAGAATGCATCCCTGTCTCTCTTACTCTGGGCTGCACTGAGAAAAATATTAGATATTAAAGCCTTTATTTTTGATTATTAATATTATTTTGAGTGGTTTTACGAAGAATTTAGGAGCTATATATGATAAAAATAATAGATATTTTTAAAGTAATTTAAACACTAAAATAAGTTTTGGATTTGGTCTATAACATTAGATTTTCTTTTCAAAAATTGGATATTAAGCAGAAATATATCCTTTATACAAAAAAATATATAGTTTTTATATTTTTTATGTATTTCTTAGTTTATAAACTTCTTCATAATTGCAGACAATATTTATATTTGCTCTAAGAGAGAAACATATAGTGGCCCGATTTTGGTGGAATTTGGTATGGGTGTTCGAAAGGGACCCTTTTGTTTGTTATCCGTGCTTTTTGACTCTCGCAGACTCCCGACTTTCTCCGTAACTCTCTCTGAATATCTTTCACTCTCTCTCTCGGCTGATTGCGCTTTTGGCCAACCAGCCAGCCAGCCAGCCTGCCAGCCAGCTTTTCCGCAGGATAACAAAGCTCGACGCAATCAGTCGTCGTACTTTGGCCCAGCGTCTCTGGTCGGAATAGCGGAAAAGCGGGACTTTTCACCCGGGAGAGAGTGCCGCGAGTCCTCGCTCTCGCCCAGATACCGTTAGAACCTGTTCGAACTAGGTCCTCCAGTGACATACATACGCGCCGTATCCTCCGCGTCCGCGTGTGCTCTGTGTTTTTATAAATATATATTTATATATATATCTATATATATATCTGAATAAATGAGTTCTGGCTGGTCCAGAATTTGAAACCGCACAACAGCTGATTTGCGTTAGCATCGCTGGAGATTTTTATGAAGATTTTCAAGTGGGTTCAAGATGCTGCCAGCGACCTTGACACAAAGCAGTCTAATGGTCTAGTTAGCATTTGTATTATCTTTGACTTGTACCAATTATCCTGGAATCAGATGGATTATATTGAAGTGGTTTTATAGGGTTTATGACTGATACTTAAGAAGTAGACTTTAAAAGCCTTTAATAGGACGAGATTAATTAAATAAATTTGTAAAGTAACAGAAAGAATGATGAGTTACAGAATTACAACGTTGATATAGTTATTTCTAAAGATAAAACTTTAAAAATTATTCATTTTTCTGTTCTTTTGAGGATTATGATGTTTATACATTAGTAAAAAATGTTCAAACCAATTTTTAATAATAAGTAACCTTAGCACCTCTTGCTTTGTAACTTCAAAATTATAATTTTTACAAACATAAGAAGTTGAACTTTGGTAAAATTTTGAGTTTAAAGATTTTAAAGTCCCAAGTATTTTTAGTTAGTGAAAAAGGCATATAATTTACCTTTTCAACTACAAGAAAGTGAATACCATTTTGCAGAAATATTAGTATAAAATTTAAAATAAATAACGCATAAACTATACCACGACCTAAGCGACATGGTCTAGCTTAAATTTGGATTACCTACGACTAAACAAAATCAGCCTCAAGCTGGATTACAGCAGCGATAGCAACGGACCCTGGGAGAAGCAGCAGCAGAACCCAAATCCGCAGAATCCCAACCCGGAGAAGGACAGCAATGGCAGGACCAATGAGCAACTGCAGCACGACTTACTGCAACAGTTGCAACAGCAATTCCAGCTGGCAGCGGTGCAGCAGCAGCAGCAGCATCAGCGCCAATTGCTGCAGCACCAGCACTCGCATCCGCCCTTCCAAGCCCCCCAGCAGCACCAGCCCGCACAGCAGCAGCATCAGACTGCACAGCAGCAGCACCAGGCCTTGCAGCAACAGCAACAGCAACACTTGCACCACTCGCACCACCCACCGCTGCAGCACCACCTGTCGCTAGGCGGCTACCAGCAGTTGCAACTGCAGATGCAGGCCACCAGGAATCAGTATTCCACACCACAGCATCACTATCGCAATGCAACAACGGCTGCAGCAGCAGCAGCAGCAGTGGCAACATCTGCAAATGCAGCAACCATAAGACGTCGCACCTTGAGTCATGTATCGCGTTCTTATTCCCTGGGCACATCGGCAGCCAGTGCAGCAGCTTCGGCAGCAGCCACTGCAGCAACTGCAGCTGCCACACCAGCAACATCATCGGCTAGCAATAATCAACTGAGTATCCACAAAACTGGGATCATGGTGGCCGCCTCACGTTGTCGGAGTCCCATAATGCTGTGCCACAGTCACAGCGACGGGGAGTTTCCACTGTACAGAGGTGAGTCCTTTAAAAGAACTGGCACGGATTTTATATTATACACTTTTCAAACTTGTTTCAACAAGCGTGTTTTTACTGTACACAGTCTGGTCCCCAGGTGGACTTACTCACATTTTGATAGCTTAATTAGCCGCTGTCATTGTGTGTCATTCGCATGTGCATTGTGTGCAACAGATGACGGCATCGGAAAATGAGATGAAAACGGAGTGAAAGGGGTTTGAGGGTTGGAAATTGGTGGGCGGGCCTCACGGAAATTGCGGTGCGTTTGGGTATTTTCCGGGACTCCATTGTGTCCTGTAATGCTAACTGGCTCGGTTCGATTGTACTGTGCGGTCCTGCGAGGGCTGAGCCTCGTTTTGATTGATTACTTTGGAATGATTTATTAATTGGCTCACAGTCATGCGGGCTCTCGTTTTTATGTTTGCAATTAACTTTTTAATTAAACATTTTTATGGCTCTTTTTGGATTGTTTAAACGATAGAAATACCTTTAAATGATACACCAAATCAAAATATAAACTAAATTTGATTTAAATTACAAACTTTTTCCATAATTAAACCCTTAAATATGAATATCAAAGCCAAGTCCTGCTAAATTAGCCTTGTTTAAGGACACAGTTTATATTCCCACTTAATTACTCAATTACTAGAATCACCTGATTCGATATAAAATGCCATCACTTCCTAATCCGCCACCTTAACAAGCTTTTGAAAGTGGCAGTTAATTTTGATATTTATGACTGCAATTTGCTAAATTGAGTAAATTTCATTGAAATTGCACAGAAAATCCGCGGAAAGTTTGGCTTTGCTCTGCAGTAATCAATGTCCTTTTGTCTGGTCTTTATCCTTCCCCTTTTTCTATGCAATTTTCCTGGTAATTTTTATACATTTTCTTTGACTTTTCCTCCTTCACTTTCCCTTCTTTTTTTGCCTTTCGTTTGGTGCGAAACTTAATTAAATTACGACACTTCTTCAGCTCCAGTTTTTTCAGGCTTTTCCTGACAAGTTCAAAGCGCAATGTGTCGCACATCCTGCCAAGGATTTCCTGCCATCTCTTTCTATTTTTATCGCCCTCGCTCTGTCCCCCCACGCACACATGTGTTGACTGGTCTAATATGCTTTAAATGATGGAATCGATTTGGAAACATTTGATGAGCTTGTCTCAGCGGCGGCAGCTGCGAAATCTTTTTCATCAGGGGAGGCACTGAAAGAAATTCAATGGGAAATGTTATTATTTAATATTCTATTCCATGTTAAAACGAATCTTTAAATACTACGAATTTTTGGGAATATTAAAGTTGAAATATTTTGCTTATATCTTTTTTAAGTTTTTCTCTCAGTGCAAACATGTTGTGGGTGTTCGTACGTAATGAAATTAGCAGACTGATGATGAGGCCGTATCGAGGGGGCAGACAAACTTTTCTTTGTCGTAAAATGTTGCAAGCAATGTTTTCGCCCCAAAAAAGGTTGCCACAAAAAATTGATATCTCAAGTGGAAATCCATGAACATTCTATGCCCAAAAACCTGATGTTGTTCATATAAAATTTATGAGTTTCTTTGACAACGTTGGAAAAAGTTTTATTTTCGGATTTGGTAGATTGCTTAAAAAGTTATTGATTTGAAATTTATTGGGGGCTTGATTTTTGCGATGCTTTAACAGCTGGAACGAAGGGCTGTTTAATTATTCAGGCAATATTTTTGGTTTAAATTTTGGCATGAATAAATTCGGAATTCTGTCAGAGGCGATTTTTGGATAGAGGATTTCGGTTTAAAAAATATGTAAAAATATTTTCATGAAATTTATTGTCTGAAAAGAAAACTTTTCTGTAATTTAAATGCTGTGCTTTTTATTGAGTTGAAACTTTCTGATTTTTACAGAAATTCCATCACTGTAATGTTTATTTATCGCCTGTAAGCCGCTTTTTTCCTTTATAGTTTTTAATTTTCGACGGACTTTCTGGCTGAGTAAATATTGACAAATATTGATAATATTTCATTACCATCTTCCATAGTTGTTCCATGTTCTCTTCTCTCTTCTTTCCCTCCTCCCTTTATCCTTGTCAACAATTTTTGCAGTTTCGCTTTATTTTTCGTTTTTTTCTTTCCATTTTTTTTTGCTGTCAATATGGCGCCGTTTATGACAAACTGTTCGATGATGGTGGCGACAGCCTCCTCCGCTTTAATCACTCCAACACACAGAAACCCTCTCCTTATGGGTGTGTGGTGGGTGTGGACACTGAGAGAAAATATTTAAAAATAGGCTTAGGTTGATATGTAAAAGATACTTTGATTGGGAAATCAATTCGGGAGTCGGAACATTTTAGTAAAACCTTTTTAAGCATCCGTTTACGTTTTACTTCTTTTTATAATATTTGATCTTCTATATATACTTATGACCTCCTAAATTGTGATAAATAGCTAATACCACAAACTTAAAGCTTACATAGAACCCATTTTTCCTCTCAGTGTTCTGCATGGTGGAAACTTAATGACTCCATGGCGTGTCTTTAGTGCTCGAGTTAATGTTTCGCGTATTGATTTCGCTCCCTTCGCCAGCCAGCTCCTTCTGCTCCTTCTCCACCTTCTGGCCCCTTATCCTCAAATGCTTCTTGGCATTTCTCCCACTGAAAAAGGGGGAGGCTTGAAAAGGGCTGGGCTAGGGGGACAGCATCCGCAGCAAGTTGGCCAAGTAATTAAGGTTCTTGTAGCGTTGCTGCCTCAATGGCTCCCCAAGTTACGTGCATGAAATCTAAATTTAATTTGCAACTTGTGCCAAAAACGTGAAGGAGAAGAAATATTAAATCAAATATTTCGATGCAGTATGGTCTTTCCATGTGGGCCTATTGACGTCATTAGGATAAAAAGATTGATAGTTAACATTAAGAGAAATTAAGGTAATTAATAGTTAGGGAAAGTGATAAATGAAAGGGGAGATATGGATTAGCATTAGGAAGTAATTAGTAAAGATTTCTGGACTTAAAAAGAATGAAAAAGGCTACTCAATACCTAATAAAGGAAACAACCTTAAACTTTTCTAGACTCCATAAAAGTTATCAGCAATGTAATTTCCTGCAATCATCTACTATTTAGGTCTAAACTGTGTTATGTACTTTCCTAAATGAAGTTTAAACGTGGCCCCAATTTAATTTCGCTTACAGAATTCCTTACAAAATCAATTTGGCCGCCAAACTTTTCCTCTCAAAAATTGAGTTGCAAATTCTGCCGCTTTGTACTGATTTTTTCTTTATTTTGTGTGGCATCTTCTAGGCGCTGTTTTTTATTCATTTCTTGTGGCATCTTCTAGGCTCTTCAAGTTGGCCAAGAAACAACTCAATTTGAGTTTGAATGCAGCTGCTTTGGTCTTGGCACTTGCCCGAAGAATTTGACATTGAATTAAGGCCTCTGCCCGTCGCCAATTTTCTTTACGGTTTCACTTTTTGGCGAAATAGGAAAGCGAAGGGAAATTACCATAAAAATGCGCAGCTCTGGGAAAGATTATCTTTATTTGCAGAACGAGACACAGACGGACAAATCAAATGTGTGAGTCCTTGAACCTTTCCCACTACTCCCCCAACCACCCTTGAGTTTTCCCAACAGTAACATCAGACTAAACAAAAGACCGAGGGAAAACCTAAAAAAGAAAAACACAGAACAGCAAAAGGAAAACAAGTCAAAAGGTAACCAACAACAACGAAGGAGACAGCGCCAACCGCAAATGACCAACTTAAGCCTCAATTTGGGTCTGGTCAAAAAGGAAAACTTGCAAGAGCTGTGTAAGCGGAGGAGGGGTAGTAGAGTGGGAGGGGTGGGAAAACTGTGACCACCTTTCTGGCAAATTGCCTGGCTTAAAAATTTAATACTGCTCGCTTATTTGAAAACAATCAATGTTCCAATTTCGTTGTTGATTTTGTGAGGAGGGCACAGGGAGGAAAAGGTTTCTGGTTCTGATTTTTAAATATTTCAGAATTTTCCTAAATAATTTTTTATTATTTATGGTTTTAGTATTGGACATCTTTTTGGTTTTATCAAAAAAAACCTTTTAAAGTATTTATAAAATTATAAATTATAATATTTTTATTTCTTCCTGTGTCGCTGTTTACTGTTTTTCTCGTTTGGCCCGCCCGCTGTTATTTATTTATATTTTATTTGCTTGCCCCACTTACCTGACATCAACCCCTGTCCGCCGCATCCTTCCGACTTCCTTCCTGTCCTTCCGGTGGGTTGTTCACCCCCCTCTCTCCTCTTGTTCCCTGACCATCTTCAGTGACAGAATTCTGGTCATGTGCTGCACATAATTGCATTCAAAGCTCTGCAAGCCGAACGGTCCCCTTAGTTCCCTCTCTCTCCCCCCTTATTGAGTAGCGCGGGAAATGACAATAAAAGCGGTTACTTATACGCCATGTTGTCCATGCGGAAAGTTGCTCATGTAATTACAGCCCAGTTTGTATGTTGTTGCGGGTGGTCATGGCAAAAGAGAATTCTTTATGCAAACTTTTAGGTCATGCTGCTCGGACATGGATCTGGCCAATGACAACTTGAACCAGCTCCGGGATAAGTTTTTAACGGAAATTTAAAGTTTCTCTCGTAATTTAATATTAAAAAAACAGAAAAACTTTCTGATGAAGGTTGCTTGTACTGTCAAGGAAAAGTTTAATTTGATTAACTTGGCAATAATGTATTATTAATATTATAATCGTATATAACTTTGAATCTTTTAATATGAAAATAGCGTGGAAATTCTAGTAAGGGAAGTTCCCAACACGAACAAAGGTAGAAGTTGACGTTTTCTGCCTTGGAAATAAGCTTTTCCTCTATTTTATTTTGCATTCGTAACCATTTCCATTTCGTGATCATCTCAGGGCAGTTTTTTCATGCCTTTTCCACTATTGATTTATGCGGGTTTTATGTTTTGGTGTTCCATTCTTTTTGACGACCTCTAAGCTTCGTTCCACGTTGACTTAATGACTGACCAGGAAAGCACTTAAAGAAAATGTATTTTGCTTAATAAATGATAAAGAGTTAGCCATATAGTAAAGCCTTTATGATAGAGAGCCTTTAGTTCTTTACGTTTTTGTTTATTCTTAAAGGTTTTCCTTTCAATATTTCCCAGACCACATTAACAAACTTCTCTCAGTGTACTTTTCAACAGCCATTGGTCATTGTGACAGTTTTGTTTTATTTTGACCGCTTTTGCGATTGATTTTAGTTTTAGTTTTAGTTGAGCGCGAACCTTTCCCAACGACGGCTGAGGAAGTTTACAAGTCAGAGAAAAATAAAAGAAATTCATATGCATATGTGTGCGTGGTTGAGCCGAATGGAAATCGATTATACGCCACGTTGAACGCGGTGAAAAGTGGAGAAAAAATTGTGCCGCGGATTCAATTTAACGCCAGACTTGACTTTATCTTGCGTGTGTGTGTGTGTGTGGGTGATCAGGGAAAACGTCGAGATATTGATGGGAAAAAAGGATATATAGAGTGAGAAGGCGATACAAAAGGGAGATGGCGTGAAGTGCCGATTGAGATGTCCTGTCAGCGGCAAACGATTTCCAGTTCATCAGGACTTTGATTTGGTCCCTGGCTAATAGGCCGGCATTATCCTTTACTTTTTACATTTTTCTTGGCAATACTTTTCGGGGCCAGGATGTTCTGCAAGCGCAAGCAGCAGCAATTGAGATTGAAACAGCGTCCCGGCGACAGGAAACGGAAATTGTTGTCCTGCATTTTTAACAGAGGTTGGCTGAAAACTGTTGTTCATTTCCACACTCACACTTGAGCCATGAATTTTTAATATTCCCCCGGAAAAAAAGAACAAAAGCGACTGGCATCCTTTATCCTTTATCCTTACTTTTCGGGGCTGGGGGACAGTAAACAGCTGGGGGGAAAAAATGAAGGAGAAGTATAGGCGCGGTTTAATCACTTGTTGAGTGCTTTGTTTCGTCCTTTTGTTCGTCCTGCTAATAGTCTGGCAATTAATTGCGTGTCTGACCCGAGTCCTCGCCTCTGGCCATCATTAATCAGAGGCGAAAATTGATAAGCGCAATGATTTAATAATAAATTATAACCAGGGAAACGCTTTACTTGCTGAAATTCGTAGGTGTAAAGGCAGGAAAGGCTTTAAGGTTTTCTTATTACCGAAGACATTTTAAGTTACAAGCTTTTAATTAAAACTATGTTGCTGAAGGACCTTTCTTTGCCTTCTTTGCCTCCTTTGATAAATTTAATTATTTGCATTTCTCAAGAAAAGCGCTGACATTAATTTTAATTTGATTTGACGGGCCATTCACTTAGGCCATTGCCCACAAAACATTTCAAGAACAAACCTTGTGTGGGCGGCTAAAAAGGCCAATGAAGTGGCAATGATACTCTTGTTTTTCGGGGACAAGCAGAGGGAAGTCTTTTGGCTACTAAAAATAGGAAAGTTTATAAGGTTTATCATAACTAAGTTCATCTTAAAGCTGTAAGTTTGGTTAAGATGCGGAGTTTGGTTACTTTTTCTTCATAAACTAAGATAAGGAAACTATCAAAATAGTTATATATATCTTAGGTTACCTTCAAGGAGTCTATCCTGTTCTTAGTCACCCAACTTTTCCCTGAATTTCCCCTCAAATCCCCGCATTAGTGCACCTGCTAGTCGCCTTTTCCTTGGCACTCTCCTGATGGCTCATTTGACATTGTTATTTACCTGAGGGGCCCATACAAACACTTAACTTTATTTAACCTGAATTATTCCTGCCATTCCTCAGACCAGGAGCTCTCTTTTATCTCATCACCTTTCTGCTCTCTTCCTTTCTTACAGGTAAGTTTGACATTGATGGACTACACAACCTCTTAAATCGGAGTATGGCTGTGTGGGAGGATAAAGAAGCCCTGCCCCGTTCCGAAAAGAAAATATGCAATGACTTTTGGCATTCCCCTGCGTGTGCGTATGTGTAAAAGATATATAGATGGGAGGGAAATTTGGAAAAGCGTGGCGCGTGGGTTTTTTCTTTCCAAGTCACCGCCTCCTGTGGCTTACCATTATCCGCCCCACGATGCAAATTAGATTTAGATTTTGCCAAATTTCCCTCCTCCTCCTACTTCCTCTTTTTTATATAGACTTCTTAAAGTTTGTTCTAAGCTCAAAGAGAAAATAAAAAGAAAACAAGTTTTTGAGGTGGGCACCCTGCTGATGACAGATTTTTCCCGGTTTTCCATCGCTGTGCCGTCTTTTCCCCCGCCTTTTGTCGCTCTGCAAATATACAGTGGTGCGTCGGCCTGGAAAAACAGTTTCTGTTTGTTCTTTCGGCGACAAAGTCCTAAGAAAACAATGGCAAATTAATGGCAAGTTAAGTGAAAAGTTGATTGCCATTTTTATTTCAACTTTGTGTTGGCATTAAAGGTGAGGAAACAGCTGGTTAACCTTGCGGGGGTAAAGGTAAATGTTGAGGTTAATATGGGTTTGGTTGGAAAATGTTTAGATAAGGAAATCTTTCGCTTTATTTCTTTATTTTTGAGCTCCCTACTATGCTACTCTCATATCCTTTTTGTTTTTGATTTATTTAGTACTCCTATTATTTACATTATTTATGTTTCACCCGCATTTTTCCACTCCGAAGTTCGCCTTTTGTGGGCCAATCAAGTGGAAAACAACATTAGCATGAACATTATTCAACATTTAACCACATTGGCCTTATCTAAATGCATTTATTCAGGATGTTGCACATATTTTTCATTTCGGGCCAATTTCCATATGCATTCCGATGCTCCTTTTTTGCCCAGGACCACGGTGCACAATTGCGCCTGAAAGTATGCAGCAAACACTGCCTCACTAGCACACATGCATTATGCAAATGGCGACACTGAAGCTGACGTCTGAAAATGAGAAATAGGAATAAAACGGTGGGAGAAGGGGGGGAATTGAGGGAAAAGGAACCGGAAAGAGAAAGGAAGGGAAAGTGTGAGCAGGAAATGCAGGGATGTGTGCTAAGATGGCAGCGGGGGAAAGTGAAACAGAAGCTCAAAAGAAAGTCCCTGCCACTTCCAGCACTTTAAAATATATTTATTTATGTTTTAGCAGCTTTTGGTCAATACAAAATATTTTATAAAATTTTTTGTATATTTTATTTGTCATTGAAAATGATTTAATTACTTATTTTTGGCATCTTCATTGATTATTTAATTGCAGAAAATTATTTAATTGGCCTTTAAAGTTGAAAAATCATCAACTTAAGACTATCAAATTTTGTTTTTCTGATAAAGAAATACAAGTTACCTTCATTATTGCATTTCTCTATTAATATATATCTTGAGATATTAAACTTCTTTCTATATCACCCACATTTTCTCTGAGTGCCTTCCACTTAACCCATTGCGTGCCTGGGACAACATAAGGCAACTTAGTTGCCATAATTTGCACATTTTAGCAGCGATGCAAATGCACGCCGACGCATGCCAACGACAGTTGACCACCCCCCTCGACGCCACTGCTACCCCGCCCCTTTAACCAACACCCCTTTCAGCAGCATCCCCTACCCTAGCTGCCTAAACCCCACCATCCTGAAAGGCAGCCCAAAAACGCTCGTTTTGCCACATGAAACATGATATACGAGGCAAAGCGAATGTTTTTGATAGCTAACGGAAATTGCCAAGCAAAGCCAGCAACAACGACAGAAACAAATTCGTAAATATTTTAAAATACGCCTCTTTTGATTCCACAAACACTATGCACTGAGAGAAAAGCAAAGAAAGGATATTTAGTACTAAAAAGTGGGGAAAAGGCGGGAGATTTGTAGTTTTCCAAGTTTATATATTTACTTTTTTTTCTATTTTTTTAGTTTTGTTTTTAAAGAGTTCAAAAGTGCAATATTCTTTAACAAGTGTTGTGTGTTTTTTTCGAGTGTAGGGCTCTGCCACTCCCATTTCGCAGCCCCTTTTAATCTGCAGTTGCTCAAAGCAAATGACAGCAAATAGCTGGCCTTTGGTCTGTGAATCTTTATCTGTTTTATCAGTTTTATTTGTTCATTAGGTCGTCGTCGTCATCGGGAATTATCGTAGTACAGTGGGCACTCTTGCAAGCACTCAACGTCTCAGGTACAGTGAGCTGTAGGGGTAGGCTCCGTAGGCGTAGGGCGAGGCATACACACCGCTGGTGTAGGCAGCACTGTAGGGGGAGGCGTAAAGGCCACTGGAGTAGGCGTAGGGCGAGGCAGCCACCACGGGCGAGGCTGCACTGTAGGCGGTCAGGAACTGCGGCTTGCCACAGGCAACGGCCAACAGGGCGAACAGGCACAGAGCGAACTGGTTGAAAAGTTGGGGAAAAAAGGATGAGGATTCGATTAGCCAGGGGAAGTAATTGCAGTCTTTGAAGTAATAATGGGGCTAGTTAGGCAAGGAAAGTCTTGAAGATGAAGTGGAATGCTAATTTGAATTCGAAATATGTTATTGGTAAGCAGAAGAAGTATTTTCACTGTTCACTGCACTTTCTAGGGCATCTATTTTTGTTCCACTATCCTTTATCTTATTATCCTTTCTAAGTTTTTATCTAAGATCCTTCTAGATACTCACAAACTTGAACATCTTGATTGGTTTTTTTGGTTGTATATCCGCTGATTGAACAGAAACTGATATGATTAACCACTGGCAGAAGCTTCGGCTTTTATAGTAAAACTTTAGTTGACTTTTGGCTTTACTATCGTAGAGGGTGGGTGGCCCACGAATTGGGGAGGTGGAAGGTAGGCAGGCAGTGGGTTAGAGGTCACTCTCGACCCTGGCACGTCTGCTCATTTTCTTTGTTGTGTTTTTTTTTCTCTATTTTTTCGGCTACTGTTTCTGGGCCCGTTTTAATTTGGCTGCTGTTTTTGGCCCAAACGTCTTTATGGCCGCTTTGCGTTGCGTGCATTGCATTCCTAATAGAGTTTTGTTTACCTATGAATGTCTTTTTTCGGGCGGTAGGGGGAGGGTCTTTCCGAGATATACAATAACAGTTGAATAGCAAAAAAAAAAAAAAAACGGAAGCAATCAGAAATTCCCCGAGCAAATGCAATTTGACCTCTGGCAATGTTAATTTGTCTTGGCCAGATTGTCAATTATCGTTATGACTGCCAGAGATTCCTCGGCATGTCCGAAACTGAAGAATTCCAAGAGAATTCCAAAGCGAAGGCCTTGGCCAATGGGTTGCCTTGGTTACCCTTTGTAAAGTCCCACTTTTTCCTTGCCCCCCTCTGCATTCCGATTGTTTAAATGCAGCTGATTGTGCACTGGAAAAATCTTTTTCTCTAATGGAAAGAAAGATTTTGTTTAGAAAAGTGCTATACTAAAGTCTAGAAATCTATGAAAACTTTTATATTTTATCATAAAAACAAATTTACTAAGTAAATAGTAAGAACTCTTGAAAAGTTTGCAATTTTCTTCAACTTAAAATGCATTTTAAAGACATTTTAAAGTGAAATTTCTTTAAAACTCAAACCCTTTTTTCCCAGTTTAAATGCCTTCTTTTATCGTCACGCTTTTCCCACTCTGCAAACATTCAATTTGTCAAGTTGTAAAATTAAAGCAGCTTTTCCCACCAGCTGCCCCGCCCACTTTCCTTTGGCTTCTCGGCTATTGTTGGATGTTGTGCATTTTGCATTTTAAATACAATATAAATTAAGTTGGCAGCTCTCGGCATTGAGAACAGTTTTCGGCAAAGCTGCTGAATGAATGAATGGCAGCCCTTTTATCAAGCTTCTCAAGTTAATTTTGCTGAAGGATAAGAAGGTTGTGTGAGAATGCGGAAGGAACCAAAGGAAATGGTGGCGGGTGGTGCAGAAGTCGGGCAAAACTGACATTGAAGACGAATTGTTCGCCCGGAATGAAGTGGAATTTGGGTGGGTGGCAGTGGGTGGTTGGTAGCCAACTTGCCCTGACATTTGAATAAAACGCTCAACTATTTGCTGATTTAATCAGGGCATTACTATTTCCATTCAAAACAAAATTGAAACTTAACTCTAGATATCTTGTAAAAGGTTTGGAGAACAAAAGCTAGGCGATATTTCACATGTGCAGAGAAAGTTTTACAAATTAGTACTTTAGAACGTTTTTAAATTATTTTTTCTTTTAAAAATGATTACAGAAAATTGTTCTAGGTGAAATTTTCGAAAACTAACAATTTAAAATAATTTATAATTTTGTAGAAAATAGCTTGATCATAATTTAATTTTTTTTTTATCTACCATTATTTATATATTTATCATATTAATTAAAATTAAAAATCCATGAATAAGACACACAGTTTAAAAGTCTCCACCAAAACGCGAATAAATTTGTCGCATGCGATAAATATTGCACTGCTTGATACAGTGCTTCCAAAAATACTGACTGCTTCTCAAACTGTTTTTGTTTTGCTCTCTCTCTGAAAATCCCTCTCTCTGTAGATTTTCCATTCTATTTTTCATTTCTGGACCTGCGCTCTTCATTTGCCGGCATTTTCCGTGCAACAACAAAATTCCTGCGCTGAGTTTTCGTCTGTTTTCCCCCCAAATTCTCCCCATTTTGTGTCTTTTTTTGTTTTTCTCCCCTATCGCTCGTAGAAAACATCCAACTAGACCGAATGATGATGCTTCCGTTTCCTGTGATATATACTGTATAGTATTTACTGTATAAGAAGTCTATATGTAAATATATAAATACATATATGTGTCGATTCTGTGTTTAGTTTCAAATTAGAGCAGAAATAAATGAGTTCTGTGCGGTGGTTGTTGGATTTTTGTTTACTGTGGAGATTCGATAAAGATAACTACAGATTTGGGGGTGTTTTTGGGTAATTTAAATGCTTATTATTGTTAAAAAGTATTATTTAAAAGTTTAAACTGACATTTAATCTTAAGAAAAATTAAAGAAATATTCCCTCAAAAAATAAAAATCTTGGTATAAAAAATAATCCATTTCTCTTCAAAATTCTAAGCCAAAATATTTTATAGTTTAAAAATAATCACATTTTAGAAACAGTTTGTTCACCTTCTCGAGCCTCTACTGTATACTGTTTTCATAGTGGGCCTAAAAATAGGAGACGCCACCACTCTTGAAAATTCTTGAAGAGCAGTTTGGGAAATTCCTTACCCAAAAGTTATATATGGCCAAAAAAAAGAGATTTGCCTCGCGCCATTGTTTATCCTCGATTTTTGTTGTTTTTGTAGTTTGTGTATTTGGAAAAACAAGGTGAAATTGCTTTTGAAGTGCGGTGGTTCTTGTTTTTCTTTGGCTTCCCCCGAAAAGATTTTCATTTGCCGATTGCTTCATTGGACTTTTAAGGGATTTAAGTTTTTCTCGAGAGGGGAATTACTGCTTAGATATTTCTGGCGTGGAATGCAAATTGGTTTTCAATAGTTTTCCTTAACTTTCCAGGCTTTATTTACCGACCGCCTGTTCTGGTTTTCCATTCAAATTGGCAATTATCGTCGGCTGGTGGGGTTTGTGGGTGTGAATTGTAAATCAATGGGCAAGTCTAATTCAATTTGAGTTCTCATAATTAACAGCGGTGAATGTGGAATGAGTAAGCAGACCAAGTTAATTCCATTGTAAATATTTAACAGAATTAACAAGTTTCCTATGCAGTTGTGTTTATAACTTATAACTGGCATAAAGTTAACTTTAACTATATAATTTAATGGTTATATTTTGTAAATTAATATTAAGATATATTTTTAAATTTCATACATTTTCGAAATTTTTATAGAAATACATTTGGCGCCAACAAAATTTTTGAATTTTCAGCCCTAATAGCTGTACTCTTCCAACACACGCTTCAAGTATCAGTACTCCCACTCTTTGCCTCTCTGTTGTTATTATTACACAGTAAAAAGAGAGAGAACAGAATTCAAGTTCGAAAATATGTTCGAAAGAGATGCTAGCTTGTATAGTTAAAAACAAGCTAAATTGAAAGTGAAAAGAATCCTTCATAGCGAAATGACAGAAATTTATTCATTAAAATCTATAACCATATGAAAACACTCCAACAAACATTATTTGTTCACGCAGTTTAAATAAATAGCTCAGCGACCACAGACAAAATACCAAAATTCATCGGGAGAGAAATTCGAACGCCAGTGGTAATAGCCTAGCTACTTTCCGGTCAGATCTAGCCAATTTCGAATATAGCCAGAAACAGAGAGATGAATTTCGAACAATCGGCCGGCGGCGGCATTTCGAAATTCGACGTCGAGGTGAAAACAACGTCGCGGTCGCTGTGCAAAACGAGAAAAAAAAGCAGAATAAACATAAACAAAAATTCGGATCAACAACGATATTAGCTCCAATTTAGTTTAATTTTACGGTGGAAAGCAAACGATAATTTATAAGTCTTTGTTTTTGTTTTATTTCGCCGCCTTTTTCGTTGTTTTTTGTTATTTTTGCGGCGCGTCGTTTGACGTTTTATGTCAGTGTGTGCGTGCATATTAGTGTAAATACGTGCCGCAGTGTGCGTGTGTCAGTTTGATTTAAATAAATTATTAGTAAAAAGCAAAAAAGTGAAAATAGAAACGAGGAAAAACGCAAAGCTATAAAAAAATAGAATATAATATATAATCAACAAGTGTAAGTGTAAAGCTAATCAAGAATATAAAAAGCAAAAGCAAAGTAAACAAATGAAGAAGCAAAAAGCAAAAGGCAGAAAGGAAAATTGTTTTAACATTTTAACATCCCAATATTGAATACAAATGGGTACTAAAAAATCGAAGATCGAGACAAAGTGCAAAAGGCAACAACAACTACGAAAGCGCCCAAAAGGAAAATCCGGTTTTACAACTTCTCTCTTCACACACTAAACACACACATACACACACTCAAACAAACACCACCAAACAATCGAATTCTCTCTGAGAAACTTAAACTAAAATTCCTTCGGTTGTTTTTAATGTATTTTCTATGGGAATTTCACCAAGAAATGTGCAGCTAAAAAAATAAACCGAATAAATAAATATTGTGAATGAAAAATCAGCTGCGACAGGTGTTACAAAACAAAATACAAGCAAGATCGAATGAAAAAATATTTTTATACGATCACAGTGAACACTCTATAATGGAAAATTATATAAATCTAAATGTTTTTGTGAATTTTAAATTGTCTAAGACTGTGTGAAGACAGTAATGTGAAAATATAGAAAAAATAAAAATGAAACCCTAATATATTCAGATCAGTTTAGTTATTTCTCTATATAGACTCTTTACTGTCTGTCCAGAAATACCTCGTAGAAAAGTGAAATCAATAACACAAAAGAATCTTAAAAAAGCTAAAAAGTGTGGCCATAAAAATAGCATAAACAGAAAATAACAATAAACCAAGCAAAAAATAAACAGTTACCAATCTCGCACTCTCTCTTTCTTTCATCCAACCATTTGGGTAAACAAAAAACACTTTACAGTAATTTCTGGCAGCTGGTTTTTCGTTGTTTACATATATGCATAAATATGTTAAATATGCATAAATAAATTAATTTTCCCCAGCACGCCTGTTCGCTAAATGGAATTTCCTCATGAAAAAATGAAAGAATGTGGAAAATATAGCGCTATCGTGTGTTATCTTATCCGTAACACGATTTTAATGATGGTGCAATTGAAAAAATAACAGAGAAATGTGCTACAATTGCTTCCTTATCACAAAAACGGTTATACCTG